TATCTCATGTACTTTGATGTGGTATGAAGTCTGGAACTCGACTCTCACTCCTTTGTCTCGAATAAGCTTTCAAAGTTGGCTTGGAAAACTATCTCCAAGCCAATTTCAGGCAGTTTTCATGTGTTGAGGTAACATTTTGATGAGCTTCAAAAATGATCCTCTGAACTTCTCTTCGAGCATCCAAGCTTTCCAATGTGTAGAGCAGTACTTCAGCTTCACAACAAGCCCTTGAACTCTCGTTTTCATCGAGCAATTTGAAAGAACCAAGCTTGCAAAGTTGGCTACCTGAAACGTGAAAAACACTTGTACAATTTTTAGGTTCTTTCTTGCAACTTGACTTGACATCTTTGATGATCAATCCTGAATGGAAAGTGATGGATTCTAGCATTGTATCAGCTAACCGCCACTTCGTTTCCATGTCCTACATACATAAAGACTTGGAAATAATCCATATCCGAGAAGGAAACGAGCACATGTACTACCCACCGCTCACCCATCGTTCGCATATAAAATAAAAAGAACCCCCTCTTATTTTCCTCACATAAACTCACGAAGATCAAGAACATCCAGAGCCCAAATTGGTGCAAAAACTAGTGGGAACACCACTTTAATAAGCTTTTCAAGGAAGGAGGAGTTGCGAAGACCCATCCTTGTAAGATGGTTGAGGAGAAAGAAGTTTCATTAACATAAGAAAGCAAGAGGGAGGTATCCATCCAAGAAGAAAAGAGGGAGATATGAAAGAAGGTGTTGAAGCTTGTTCAAGCCCATACAATGGAGACATCTCATGCCAAGAAGGAGGACAAAGACGATGACACAACCTCAACAAAGGAGATGACCATCCATGAAGAAGTATCGCGATACCCCCCTAATGGTGAAAAATATTATAGAGAGGAGAAAAGATTGACATGCCACTTTAGGAGAGAATTCTAGATTATGTGCTGATCAAGATGGAAGATAGAGACCCCATACTCCTTGGTCTTTGGTAGACCATTTCTTGCCACTTCCGTTGCCATGATCGATGCGGCAAAATGAGAGATCACACTATGAGGAGGAGATATCATGCATAGAGAAGTGGGGTCTATTGAACACAATGAGGTGAACCCATCAATGATGATGATTTCAAGGAGAATGAAGATACAGAGCCAGAGATAGAGATCAAGATCCGATCAGGATTTCTATACGAGGCTTCCTCATATGCAAAATATCATCACCATGATGAAGACCTAGAATGGAGAGACAAGTTGAAAGGAGCTCCACCAACTTCTGATTTGAAGCTAGCACCAATAGTATTCAAGATAGCCAATACAAGCTCATAGTTTTTGCTAGAGAAGATCGAGGAGCTGGAGTACGAAGCGTCGGAGGAATTTCAAGAGTTCATATGCCAAAGTGGATTCAATCGACATCCCATGGAGCCAACCATGATGAATGCAACTGGATAGGGTGATGAAGGCTCACTATCTTTTTGTCCAATGAGGATAGGTGTTACTGTTAAAGTGTGGGGTGAAATTGGGTGACGCGTGTTGCTTGACTATACTTGATACACGACATAGTTTTAGGTATTCAATTTCGAAAATACAAGTTTTATTATCCATTTGAACTTTTTTTTCCAAAAGTGCTAAAGATGTTTTCCACCTAATGACTTTTAGTCATCCCTTGCAAACTTTTCACTGCTCATCTTAATTTGAATCAATGAGTGTAGGGAATGTCACTTGATGAAATATAGAAATGTCTATTCTAGACACCCATATTATGATCAAAGGAGCATTCATTCATATATTTATCATCATAATATCTTTAATTTATGACGTGATTACTTCAAGTGCATTCTAGCATCCCTAGAATTGTTTTTATACAATTGATGCGCTTTTGATGTCTTCATTTCCATCGATGAACATCCAGGAACCCCTCTCCATAGTTGGCTAAGTTCTTTAGTTGCGTAAGCATGTTAACCCTAGGGATTCTAACCATGTAAAATTCGATGTTTGGTTTAATACGATCGTTCTCATATGTGCAAGGATCGAAATGATAGTTTCTTAGGATGGGACTAGAAATAGCATTCCTACTCGTCGAACCTCATTTGAGACATATATTGAAGTAAATCACATTTTATTAAAATTCAAACAACATTTGTGAAATTTGATACCTTTCACCTTGGGTTATTCGTTTGAAATTTTAATTAGTTATAAAATATTTTTATGGTGTAGAATAATTATATATTTTGTGTTGGGTTGTTACCTTAAAATATAGCTAACCCGACCCAACCCATTTAAAAATAAACCGTAGGATTTTAATTTTTTGGGTGGGTTTGGGTTTAATATTTTTCAAATCGTAGTACATGAGTCGGATGATTAAATTGACTAAACCCAAACCACCCGACCCATGTACACCCCTAGTTGTATCACCTGAAAGGCACAAGAGGCTTACTATGCAAACACTGTGTTTCCCAATATAATTATTTCAACAGGAATGAAAAATTAACACTTCTTGTTATTTTTTATATCTATTTATAAAAGAAAATAATTTACAATCACAAGATGCGACTTTAGTAATTAATGCCATTATTCTATAACTAACGTTGTATGATTTTTGAATAGAGCCATTAATATCACATGTGAGGGACCATAAATCACTTTTAAAAAATATGATACACGGTAATGGAGCACAAGTCATTCATAAAAAGATTAGCTAAAACTTATTAGAACATTATAAAAGATGTAAGTTACTTAAAATAATGTACACTTAAAATGAAAATGATTAATATAAATAAAACCATTGGACGGGTCCAAAGCTAGCTAGACTGATAATTTTTTTTTAGTGTCACTGAGTAAGGCAAGTGTAAATGTCGTTAGCATAAATATAACAGCAAACAAAGTCGTATTTTACAAAGACTATGAATATTAGTAGTTACGTATATTTTCTTTTATCGTATCAGTTCTTTTAGCAAAAATTTTAATTAAGAAATCAAATATTAAAGTAGTAGAAATGACGGAGACTAAAGCACAAATTGCTTATGTAAAATCAAACAGAGAATCCGTTGTTCAGATTTGAACCCCCTACCTAATTATCAAACATCAACCAAATACAATACATATATTATGTTATTATTCCTAGACCATGGAAATTCCCAAAATAGCCATAACCCAATACCCTCCTCGCGTATTAACATATTAACCTAGATCTAATATCCTCTTTCATCTAGAGGAAACTAATCGTAACATTAAGTTTTTATTTGAATTTCCATATTAAGTTGGACCCTAATCTAAAGGCCATTCGTCGTCCATATCCACGTAGTCCGATCAATCCATTCTATCCATAAGTTTCCTATCATGCATATGGGGATACACTCCTCGCTATACTCATGAATATACAAGCAATCAAAATCTCAAAATCAATAAAAAAAACTCGCAAGACAAAATAAGAATAGACCATAGGAAGATAAACATCAATATTTGTATTGAAATCCAATCAATTGAGAAAACATAGCTATGATTAATCTCTTCCAAACAACAAAGAGGTTTAATTTACGGTGAATGAGAAAACAAACAACAAAGGAGAAGGAGATGTGATCTTCATGATTGATTGCATCATAGATCGCTCTAAATCGGCTTATCCTAAGGGTTGAGTTGATGGAAATCCCTCTTTACTCCTCTCTAACTCATATTTTAGGTTTTAGGCAACAAGTGGTTGAAGTCCCCTCTCAAAACTCAAAAGCATAAACATTCACTTAAATAGAGTTGTTTTGTGAGCCCAAACACGAACTCGAACACATCAGGTTCCGGGCCGTCGAGAAATTGTATCACGTTCCAAGACTGGGCACGAGCCTGAGGCAGTGGCGTAGTCAGGATTTCGTTTAAGGTCCACTCGAAAAAAATAAATATGATAAAATACTTTTTTTTATATAATCTTACGTTGAAAACTTTTGATAAATTAAAATGAATTAGCAGTCAAAAATATCAAGAATATCACCCTGCACATATACCAAACAATCATTGATTATATTTAGTTAGCTATAGTGTTTCAAATGGTGTTCTTTGTTAAGAACCGTTAGTATCAATACTTCGAGTTGTTGTAGAGGTTTAATAATAAATCTTATACCAACCAATAATTCATGATTTACCTAGTAGTTCGCTTTTGAATGATGTTTTAAAAAAAAATATATTTAGTATCAATTGATCGAGTTTTGGAAGATTTCAATAATATATTATACCATTTACTATCATGCTCCCTTATAAGAAAGTCAACTTATACGAAATTGATATTTGCACAAATCTATATACCGTATACTTAAGAAATGAGATAGCCAAGATATCATTAACTATCATACCTAATTTAACCATTTTCCCCCAAACCAGGATGGGTCCCGGGACCCACCCTGTTACCCTCTCCCTCCGCCGCTCGCCTGAGACATGACCATGTTCAGCTCTGCAAGTATTTTTCTTACTTTGTTCTTTAATTCTTCATAATTTCTTCGAGTCTTAAACATGAAACGATGGTGTCGGGCTCAATAATTTGACACAAAGACATTGGAATGTATTCCAAATCATTCCGAACTCTATTCTTCCATTCTTAGTGTATTTTTTCATTCGAATAGTGTTAAATTCAATTCCAGTGACCTAAAAGACACTAGAACAACAAACCAATCAAACTGGCAAAAACATAAAAATATCGCCAAAATGCAAAGCAAAAGTAATCAAAAAGGAAAATAAAAGACGTTTCAATCATGGGTTATCAAATCACCCTACCACCCCTTAAAAAAAAACACCCTATCAGTTATCATCTTGCTTGGTTCCTGCATGAATGTAGGCGTCATAAAAAGTAATTCTACGGATTATCTGCTACAGCTACAGCTACAGTTCTCTCATGGACAATGGGTCCAAGGGAATGACAGCGATTATTGCAATAAACACCAGGTATGGCCCAGAAAGCCAAGGGCAAATAACCGGTTAAGGAAGAGTACCAAATGCTTAACCCAACTAAGTGGGCTAAGGAGCAAACCTGTACCTTAGGGCAAACCTTTGTTACGGTCCCTTTCACTTCATTTTGGCAACAACAAGAAATTGGTTAACAGCACCCGTTTAACTTTCCCATATTCCACTCGGTACTTTACCCTTGAGCTTATGAAGTTTTGTTCAGGACACAGATGTTTTACTTAGGAGGGGCCATGGCTATTGAAGAAAGGAATTCATTGCTTGAATAAAACATATCAGAAACACTATGCATATCCCAATCAAACATCAATTGCATTAACTACTCTAACCATGATATAGTAAATGCATGGAAAAAGTATTATAAATTAGGTGACCATACACTGGGAGTATCAGCTGCAGAATAGCCACAGGGACTGACGAGCAAGACAACTCCACTGACATCGGAGAGGCTTCCAAGAACAATAACAAGTTCAGCAGAAGTGGTCGTTGGAGGAGCCTTCCAATATGAGGGAAGTGATCCAGAGTTCAACGGGGCAAGTAATGACATAAATGGAGCTGAATCTTTAGCTGTTTCAACCTGTAACTGGATAATACAATTTCAGTCACTAACAAAGAGCATAGAGGTCTAGAAAAAAAATCGATACAAAGTTCTAATAGAAAATTCAGTGCTGCATGTAACAGAGATTAGAGCATTAATAAAATTCAATCCTCTTTTGCCAGATACAGGAAATGATAATGAATTTACTTGTCATTCTTTGGAATGTAAGCATAGATTAAGATTCAAAAAAGAGACAGCAGCTAACTAAGAATCCTACTCATACATGCAGCACTCTCTGGTAGTAGTGGGCTTCGAACTCCCAACTTTCTAGTCTGATAATCCATGAATAAACCAAATTCTCAGCAAGGACAAAGGAGTGGTAACTTGCACATTATCCAGCGGAGAAGCCGAATCCTCACTAATTCTTTCCAACACTTAAATAGCTCTATCAAGGTAAAAATATATAAATTGTAATTCCCATTATCGCTGACATCTAGCAGCCAACAGACTAGAGCATTTTTGGTTGGGACCAGTCACATCTCATCCATTCATTCCAACAAACAGTAATATTCAGTGCAGCCCGATTTATATTCTCCTCGCCCCATAGTTAATTGCAGCAAATCAGTGATATAACCATAACTAGGTTTCAATCTTCAATTCAAATACACGTCATAGTTGAGCTTCTAAAAATTCTGACTTTAAGTTACTCATTGGACAGGAAAAATTTTGAAGGAGAGAAGAATCACGTTGTAATCTAATGAAACAAATAAGTATGCACATATCCATGTGGAACTAATTTGTTATTGTCCTATACATATTCGAAGAAGGGATTATAGTTGTTACCTTCCAAGGGCATCATTAAATTCACAGAACACGAAAGTGCAAACAATTAGAGTATCTTCATAGAGATTATAACATCAATGTTGATCAGGCTTAACCTAAAGTGAGAAATAAAGTAACCAAACAATTAAAGAAGTCAAGACTTTGAATCATACCGAGTGAAAGAAGCCAGCAAAAGGGAATTCAGCAAGAGATTCCTCTCCGTATAGGAGCTTGTGTATGGATGTAGCTGGACTAGAAATGTAAGTCTAGTAAGAAGATCCTATAACCTGGTCCAAAGCTTGACAAGCTGCATTATCTGCCCTGTTTTTCCTTCTCAAGCTAATTAACACTTTTACATAGTCCAAGAGTAAAGCATGGAGCACAGTCTCATGGCAACATCGTTTACAAATGAAGCCATCTACTGGCACTACACGATTAGCTGAACTGTCAGCTTGGCTCCCATAGCTTGTTCCACTCTCAAGTCCATTGTAGCTGGCATCCATTGAGTTGTAGCTCGTCAGCAAAAGAGCTCCTTTTCCAGCACAACACACTTTACATGCCTTCCGTCTACACTGAGAGCACTTAAATATTGATTGCTCATTTCCTGCTGATGACAATGCAGGAGAAAAATGGCGAGAAGTTCCTTTTTCAGCACGAACTTCACACTGGCCACCAGAACAATACTCCCCAATTCCAGAGATATTCCAGAAATCTATAACATCATCATCAATGTTCCTAAGGCCGATAGCAGCGTTAATTTTTTCTTCATGAGAAACTTGAGCAAGGAATGCAAGGGTGGTTGCAACTCTGCATATTCTCCCAATATATAATGCATCAATTAAAGCATTTGGGTTTATTGAAGAAGGATCGATTCCAATGGACAAGAGAGCTCTACCCCTTTCTGCAGCTGAAAGACTCAGTCAAAGCCGTTCAATTTCAAGTTTTATAGCTTCCACAAAGTCCAACTTTCAGTCCTGAGAAAGATTAAGAAAATTGAAGGAAAAGCAATAGGTAAAAACATCAAGGCTTTATCAGGACATGCAAAATCCTAATTTTGAGTAGCTTAACTACATTTTGCTTTTACATAATGACTAACAAACTCACAAAATGAAGAGCTACATCGTTTTATGATTCAGAGACTGTAACCAAGGCTTCATCAGGTCTCATGCAAAATCTTAACTTTGAGTAACTACATTTTGCTTTTACATAATGACCAACGAACTCACAAAATGAAGAGCTACATCCTTTTATCCTTCACAGACTGTAGCAAAAAATTCATCCTGGCTCTCATAGTTTTCATCATTTAATCCTGAAATATCGTCTGCGTTTAACTTCAAGACAATGTTCCTGCTATTAGCCAACACGTGTAATCATTTGATACCAAATAGCTCTATTGCCAGTAACAATGGTAGGAAGACCCTCCAAACCTACTTCACATTCGAGCCACGTTTCCCCAGAAAATTCTACATTTTGTCATCCAGGATGTCATATCGACATATCATTTATCCTTTGGCAATGGAAACCTTGGACTTCTGGAAAAAAATTGAAGCCTACCAAGCACATCTACTTGTTTCACCATGTTTATAGCTCAGCTGTCATATTTGCCTCTTTGTTCCTGATTGCAACCATCCCTTTTGAGAGGCCAATTTCTATGGTGTTCCAACAGGTCATAAGAAAAAATAAAAGGAGATTGTTTGAGCTATTCTTACTACTTAAATTTTATGAACTTAAAAAGAGATGATAAAAACCTAGTCATATACTAAAAAGCAAAGAAACCCGCAATACCCATTTCGAGGAATCATCTTATCGCATGAACATAGCATCAAAAGAAGACTGCAGGAAACGAAAATAAAACAAAAGTGCCAAAAAATTAAAAAGGTGCCCTACCATTTGTGACCCTTGAAGGACCTTCAGATAGTTGATGTATTTTTCTGTACCATTATCTACAGCATTTCCAACTAGCGACGAGAAGTCATGGTCAGTCTCACCATGTTCTTCAGTAGCAGCTTCACCCAAAAAGTCAAGCAAATCACCTCCACCAGTCCCATGATTTTGTGCCAGAGGATGAGAAAATGAAGTTGTATCTTCTCCGGACAACAGATCAAGCCAATTTCCAGAAGCAGTTTGCTCCATTGATGGCGGAACAGCTAAATCATGTGAATTTTACCCAGACAGTGGATTGGTGCTAGGATCAGACAGAAATGGGTTGATTTCCTTCTGCACTTGTTTAGGAAGTTGAAGTATCCTTCTACCAAGGTCTTCACTATTAAACATACTCCTCCAGGGAAGAGAAACTCCAAAGATCTCTATCTGTAACAAAATGATTTAACTGTTTTAGTGCAGAAGCAACAACACACATGACTCGCCAAAAAATTAACTGAAATAATGTCTAAGGGATTAAATGGAGAAAAGGAAAAGAGCATACTAAAACCTGAAGAGTTTTCCTAGCAGTAATGTGGGATAACAATCAAACACCATAGGTCCAAACCTTTGGGCCAAACAAAATAGCATCAAGTATCTGCATTTCAACAGAAGCTAGATCTTAATGCAAAGAGATCCCTTCCACTAGTTAAACAGGGAAGTTAGTTTCTCACGTTTCCATAATAGCTCAAGAATTAGTCTCCACAAGAAAAACCCACATCATCTGCATTCATGCTACTACAATAAGTACTTTTTTCACACTTTGTGAATAGAACGCACATGAGTCCATGTTCTGTTGGAGTGAAGCCAAGCTTTACCCTCAAAGAGGTGCAGCTTGTTTGTTTCGAGCTTCCTTGAACAGGCAAGGACCAATTTAATCGAATTACTGCAACACATGGGACAGTCATAGCCGATCTACTAAGCGTAGAAGGTTATAAAAGGATGTTTTGATGAATAGGAGAAGCACGAGAACTTCCAACTCCAAAGATTAGAGTTGCCTCATGTTTCTGATTTGAAATTCAACAGCAGAAGTAGCTTAGGACAGTAAGTCATTAATTTCGGTGCAAAAGATAAAGTAAGTAAATTATCTCACCACTATCCAAGATAGTTTAAGTGTGCGATCTTCAATACAAGTAACGTATGGTCTTTAAACGAGTCATAAAGTCTATGTCCATGCAAAACAAATAGCAATTCAGCAATCTTTTAAGGACCAGTACCATACCTCACCAAGAGTCATGGGACCTTTCCCAGAAATAGCTGGATAAAAGGTAACTGCCACAACACGAGTAAGAAAGTCCAATTCCCCCTCTAGTTCTTCGAATTCATACAATAATGAAGGTTTGACGTGTCCTGAGCATGAAGACGTGCACCAGCTCCGATTATAGCCATATCCTCAGAACTAATTGGCCCTGGTAAAGCTATCAAGAGGTTTGTGCCATTTGCACATTGAGGTATGGAAGCACCCTGCAAAATTTCCAACATAAGAAAATAAAATATATTTATCTCAAGGTGTAAATAAATGTCTTTTTTAGCTGCTTGTTCCTTTAGGTGATTGGGGCACACTTGTTCAGTATGGAATTTTGCTGTTGCGTAAGATAAGGGATTAAATAATAACAGAACTGCACAGCAAAATGCATGTTTTATTCCTACAAGAAGTGCATTTTCGTGATATTTATGACTTAAGAGACTGAGACCTCAACAGACAATGTATCAACCTTTTAGATTTTCCCACATTTCCAGTCTTCCAGAGGCTCCAGCGAGCAAGAGGAACAGCAATCCAGACAGATATCTGAAGACAGATCTTTTTCAGTAGTCCATTCAACGTATATTCTTCTCGGTAAACTCGACGTCGGGTTGGATTGTTTAAAACCAGTTAATATTTCATATGAACAGCACATTTATTTTAGACAGGCAGGGGTCGGCTAGAGGAAAAACAAGCTCCATCAAAATCATTCCTTTAAAACCCACTGCATTGTGCCTAACAACATGCATAGTCCCTCCCGTTTGTATGCTTAATGGACGAATTCCTCAATCCCACTCCTTTTTATCTTGATATCATTTATCCCAGTGAATTCAAACTAAGCTTGATGGAGAAAAAATTACTAACTTACGTCAGCCTAAAAGGATTACTTTTCCTTAACAAAAACTGGAGTTATATGTAAATAAAACAAAAAACCAGAAAATAGATAAACAGAAGTTGAAAGCACAAATTAAACAGGGAATCATTCTTTCAACTACTAAAAAGTGATTGTGGTTTCCAAGTGTTTTTTCATCATACAAAGATTAAGAGAACTTAAGTTGCTGAATAACATTTGCTTACATGACCTCTACGTAAATCATCCCCCCTCCCTTGGCAGACTCGTTCTCCTTCTTTTTCCTCTTCAAAATCCCACAACAAAGTAGCCATGAAAATATAAAATTTGCTTGAATCCAGGGTTGTAGAACAGAAACCACTTCTCAACAAATGGAAGGATTAAAGAGACCCACTAACCTCCACAACCAACTTAAGCCCAACTGGAGAGCGCTCTGTCCTGACATTGACGGTTGATGGAGAAGTTGAGTCATCTGCACCATGGGACACCGTTAGAAGAAGCTGGCAGACATGACAATGCTCCCCGAGATAGATAAAGAGCTCAACCACATCTGCATCTTGTTGAGTCACCTGTTAAACATACCAGCATTCATGCAAATTCTGAAAAAATAAAAATAAATAACAATGGAAGCACGAAACTAAGAACAAAACTCTACGTCCAAGACACGCAGGAAATCATGCAAGGAAAACTATTCCCTTTTGGTCCTCCAAGCTGGGCCTTTGAAAAATAAGGAAGAGAGTATATTCAAAGTACCCATGTAATATTTTTCCTCTTGAAGCTCAAAAGAACAGATCCATCAGTAACTCGCGGAGATGTTTGTCACAGGCTTGAGAGATAAACCGATTGTAAAAAAAAAAAAAAATAATAATAATTTGAGAGATAAACCTGGGTCTAGAAGGCACCTGTAATTACCAGCAAGTAACACATAATCAGTCATAGCAAATTATGGCTAGGTCATTCTGATAATCTCCTAATCACAGACCATTCAATCATTTTATTCCATACTAAACAACTTGGATAAGTGAGAGCCAGGGATAAGTGAGAAACATGTGTCAGGGAGAGGCAAAAATTAGACACATAACCAACCAGGAGCATAGAACAGTTGTGTGCAGAATGAAGCATGACATACATTTAAAGCCTGGACCGGAATCGAAGGTAGATGCTTGAAAAGCCTCATTCCAAGAAACATTTCCAGATGCTTCTGACGAGAGCTGTCAACTACTGCATTTTTATATCTTCTCTGCATAGTGATTTTCATGTTCTGAGCTGCCGAGAGCTGTTTAAATTTTGATGTTTCTTCAGTAAATATGCTCAATATTTGGCTATGCATTGCCTTAGAGCTGGTATAAAGTGTGGCATGTATCTCTCCAGCAAGAAGGAAAAGATCAGCCAGCAACCATACAGGATATAAGATTGTTAACCTCCTGAACTCCTCAAAAGACATTCCAAGTCTCTTCCAAGGTTTATCTGCGCAAGGATGATTCCAGGTGTAGTCCTGGTATTGTGATCAATGTAATAGGTTTTTCCTGTCACTGCATCAGATCGTTTCTCCCAACCCAGGGGCAAAGGAGCTGTGTAACCACCATAGTTAGTGGGAGACAGATGGCCATATGCCAGATAACTATCTAGAGATATGGCCAGCCTTCTACATTGCTCCACAAAAACTTGGAGGGCGCCAAACTAACTAGCAGCATTTGTTCTATCCAACGAATCAGCACAGTTGAACCGTATTGCTCCATTTTGATGTGTTCTTACACAGAACGCTCCCACATAATTATCGTTGCAGATGACTTCACCTCTGCACTCATTGAGTCGTTGTCTTGAAGGTAAATAATCACCTTCAGAAATGCTAATAGCCATAGTGGGTGCTTCAAGAAGCTTCCAAAGTTCTTCAACAGTTCTCTGTTCACCTTTCAACTTAGTACTAGCATGCCAGTCATAATTTATCAGATGTACTCTGGCATGGGGAAGTTTTCGGGTCGACCTAATGTAGTTTAGAGATTGCTCAAAGTGTTAAACCAAGATAGATTCTGATTTTCCTTCTCCATTCCTAAGCAAATTGATACATACAATGGGAACAAAAGCTTTTTTCTTCTGGGCATCACCAAGAGCTATGTCTAAGCTTCTAGCATCATATCTTTTGCTCAACCTATTATAGTAATCCAGGCTTCCTTTATAAGGGTGCTTATCTGAAACATAAATTTCTGTCTCTGCAGTCTGCAGCAGTGATCTTTAACTCTGCACCCCACCATATTGGAATAGTACCACGTCGCCAGATATATGTATTAAAGGGAACGCTTTCACTACTCTTTTTGGGCACCCAAACAAGTTGTTACACTCCACCTCATTTCCTGTTCATGAGCACTCAGAAGTCAGCATAATTAAGTATAGGACCCCAAGGAATCAGGTGATAAAATATAATGGGCGGTATTAGGTGAATAGGTATAAAAAACAAACCACACATTTATGCTTCTGAAGAGAAAATGAGTTGTGAAGTGCAACTTTAAATTATCGGAAGGTTGGACGTTGTGGTACAAGTAACAGCATACTTAAAAAATGCATAACAAAACTATGAATAATATTCCATTTCACTTCATTTCAACACTATGGTGCCACTAAAATGATGTTCCATGAAGAGATACTATCTCAACGAGGTAGTTTTATACAATAATATCCCTCCAGCTCAGACCTAGGGGAGTATGACATCAAAGCATACACTACGAGCCATAAGAAGGAATCAGCTATTCTCACCTGTACTGAAACAAGAATTTAACCCCCGAGCCAAGTATCGAGTCCCAGGATGTAGCCTACTACGACGAGCTGTCAGAGAAACAATCCCTTCTAGCTGACACAAGCTTCCAAAGTTTCGACATTCTGCAAAGCCCTAGACATTAATACCAAGCAAATATTACATGTAAATTTTACATCAGACTCAAATTATTCTCTTATTCAAAGATAAATTGATCAAAGATCTATTCCTTCTGAGTAAGCAGTGAAATATAAAATGGACAATAAACCCACAATCACATGACTTTTATGCAGCTTGAATTACTCCAAAAACAAATGAAAAGAGAGCCATAAGGCACTTTGTTATCTATGCTGCCAGTGGACATGAAGTAAAAATTCGAGATTAGCTTTATATTCACATCTATAAACAGTACCATGGAGAAAGGAACTTGCGGAACCTCCTACAGAGGATTAGTGGATAAGAGAAAACAGAGATGAGTGATGAACAACACTGTTTAGATATCAAACTCCTACGTTGATGGCTCATTATACCTCAACCACTGAAAATATAAATTACCAATATATGTAATTATTAATTTCTCACAAGAGCTGGCAAACATGTGAGTAGGATTAAAAACTAGCTCATTAATTGAAAAACTCTAGCATGAATAGTATCCAATAGCAGATTCCAAATCATCCCGTTGGGCTTGAATGATGAAGGCTTGCTGATATAATCGTGAGTGCTAGTTAAGATGTACCAAAGATGTGGATGTAGGTACTAAACATGCTACATCCATGAGATCCATTGATGGGGATAAGGGACAGGGATGTTAGAGAATGCTAACACAACTATGCTTCCAAGAAAAGGAAAAGTCATAAATGAGGATGTCTAATTCTTAAGAGACAAGGAGATCCGATGAGATTTTTCCTTAGAGCATTCTTCCTATCAAGATATTAGTAGCGGTAGCTTTTCTGAAGGAAAAAAGCATAAGCCTAAAGCCACAAACAAGATTCTAAAGTTCTTAATAGCAGAAACTGTCCATCATAGTAGGTATAAACATGATAAAGTTCCAGAAAAACCTGCAGTAGAATGACACAATGCTGCGCAAGACCAATGTGTTTGAAAGGCATTGATAGCCATCCATTCCATACGAATTCATCATCAGGCTTTTCTAAAGGCATACGACTGGGAAAAGGTCGAGTTATGTCTGCTGTCTCACAGAAGTAGTGTTTCCCATCAATGTCAAGCTCAGTTAACTCCTGAACATTCTTCAGTTCGCCTTTACCTTGATGTTGAGGGTTTTGAAGTCATGTTTTGATCCATTGAGTCTCTGTCACAGTGTATACACACCCCCCACCAGGAAAATTCGGAATGCTGGATGTTAACTTTGTAGCTACAAGTAGCCAACCACAGCTTCCAAGGGCTGCATAACCCAGAATTGCCCTCGCATGGGTTGCGCTCCTGCATTGCCATTTTGATGCATTTGTAATGTGATCAAAAGCTTCATTTTCGGACATAAGAACATCAACACCTGGCTTCCCAGTGTACCGAAGTGCACCGCTTGTTGGATCAATATATATCACCTGGGTGTCAGCCCTAGAAGACAAGCTGGCTATAATATATACTTCACTGGTCTCTAGTGTTACAACAACAACTGATGTGTTTCTTGAAGCACCTACTACAAGAAAACAAGGAAGGGAGAAAGATTCAAAATTAGGATCTGGTCAAGCAAACAGTTTTTCTGATAAAGAGAGCATAAACGGCCAGGGCAATGCCGCCTAAAGCCATTCAGCTATTTAACTAAATAGAAAGAGAGACGCGTAAGAAGCACGAGCAGAATCTTGGGAGACATAGTTTAAACAGTAACCAGATCAAAACTTAGCTAATCACACTATCGAATGTTACTTCTGCTATGTGTTTATTTCACATTCAAGCAGTGTACACAACTAAGCATTGAAAACCCAGATGGTCGATATGAAATGACTCGTATCGACCAAAGTGAAAGAGGGGTGTTTGTCAATCAATCCTCCACCACACTATTGGCCAATTTCAAGTCTATTAGACTGGATCAGCATCCAAGTTCTGCAGCAGGGTGTCACTTTAACTTTAACTGAATCGAGAATCTCATTACAACTAGCAACAAATCATCAATCCACGAATGCAGATATCACATTGCATTTGCCTCCAGTAGAGCTTCACACCAGTTATGTGTCACACATTCAGATTATGCATTCATGATGGCACACCAAAAACTCAAACTTCAGCATGGGCAGGCAGAAATTGAAGCTCTTTCTTGAATAAAACGAGCAAAGAAAAGCTTAAAGTTAAGGCAAGTTGTGGAAAAATATCGAACCACAATTAAGAGGCTTCGGAGAGTTCTCATTGTGATCCATGTATCATCATAAGTTCAATTCACCCAGCGGATTGCTGATAATCCCGCCCTTATCGTTTCAGTACCGTCGCTGCATTTTTGCTCCAAATATGCAATAGTAGCAGCTGCAGGAGCCCCCAAAGATTTAGACATTTAGTAGATTCAATAAAATGACGCCGGAGATCAGTTTGGACTCTGCATCCCCAATTCGAACGTTGACAGATCGGAGGTAAGGTTCGGGTTTAGATGGGAGCTGGAGCTGGAGCTGGAAAGGAAAGAATTAGTTCTCCCTCGGTCCCTCCCTACTCCCTAGGACGGAAGACGGGAGAAGAAACGAACTTTGAATGTTATTTTTCTTTTCTGGAAATCTAGGAGAACGGAATATTCAAATCTTTACCGTTGATGATAAATGAGCAATATAATAAAATAATAATTTGTGTGACTAATTTATATATATATAAGTATTTTCAAACCTATAAATTAACAATTATAAAATAATTTATCAAGAAATTTACTATATAACTAAAATAATTTAGAAAATAAATCTTATCTTATCTTATGTTACTATATATTATGGTTGTTCAAAAACAACTTCTTACTACATAAGCATTTGGAGAGTTCACAAGTTGTTAAAGTGGACAATTTTTTTTAAAAAAAAGTTAGTTAATGATCTATTTATAGTGTTATCTCTTTTTTTAATATTTTTTCTTCTTTTCTTCTATAATTCATATTTTTTTTTTGTATTATATCCATGTTTGTAGCAATAGACTAATGTTTCTACCAAAAAAAATAGGCTAATGTTTGTAGAGTGATACATATTGTATTTATTTAAATCAAAATATATTATTAAACTTTATCAAATAAATTTTCTCTTCATTTTTACTAAACTTAATAATAAGTTACATTTTATTGAAAATTTTAAACAAACACATACATAAATAATATAATTTTATCAATTAAACAAAATATAATGATGGAAAGAGATAAAACAATTGTTAGACAGTCAACTTTCAAAAGTGAACTATATTATCTTATATTTTACTAGTAAACACTCTCTTATATCTAATGTATATATCTAGAAAATAAAACAAGTATTGTATAACAAAAGTTCTGGATAAACACTTGACGATGTACAAGTATTATATGACATGTGTGAATATTAGAGAAATATTTGTTGAGTATGTACGATAAACATTATGTTTCATCATCCACTAATTAGCATTGATCAAAGTATCAAAACAAATATGTTTTACTTTGTAATAGTAAGCAATATGTATTTAGATTGAGTTATCGTAGCCACAAAATTTTGTTTCATATTCTACTGAACGAGGTGAGTACAAATGTCTTATTTATTAATCAGGGTTAAAGATAAAGTAAACTCTTTCTATAAGCTTAGATATTAACAGTAAATGTGTCTACAACACATCCACACTTTATGTATGAGATATGTCACAAATTTTGTATGAGTTTTAAAATTTTAATTAAAATAAAATTTTCAAAAATAAAATTTAATTGTTCAAATAGTACGAAGTTTTTATTGCACATAAATCTATGTGCAGTGTAGACATGCTTTATCAATTATTAAGACATATAATGAAATTTTTTGTTCCATAACTAACACAAAAAAATATAGAAAATTTTTCAAATGCATATTAAAAAAGTTGAAAAATTATACACTAAAAGATCATGTTATGAAGAGAACCCTTGATAGTGTGTCAGAGTTTCTTGGTTTGAGATTCCAAGCCAACATATAAACAACAACAATTGACTGAGGGTTTATCCAAACTTCAAGAATTAGCAATTGATACAAATTATGAAGTGTGAACATAAAAATTAGAAGATTAAAAAGATTTTAAACATATAGATAAATTAATTAATATAAATGATAAAATAAAATCCTCCAACCAACGGGTTGCGTAAAAAACTAGTATGAATCTATAGTTGTTTGTTTTTTCTTGAAGTTCAAGTGTAGTAGGAGTTCAATTTCAACTTTTCTCATTGCACTCAAAATCTCTAGTGTAGTCTTATCTAATTGCAACGTTTAAGGTTTCGTTTGCTTGTGGGAATTGAGTGATGGATCTGACACCCAGATCCCAAGCATCAAGAACTTAACACAAATTATTGTTTGCTAACCCTTTGTTCCCGAAAGAAGGGAGGAAAATGGAGGGGAGGGACAATTTGGAGATTAAGGAAATTGAAAATAAAATGATGTTTTATGGAAAAAAGTTGGAAGAAAAATGTGTATTGAGAATTGTGACAGATATGTTATTTTATTGGGTATATAATAGTAAAAACGTTTGATTATATGTTGATATTATTTTCATTGTTTATGAATTGTGAATTAAATTTGTACTTTCTTTCTAATTTTTTTCACTAATAAAAATCAAAAGTAGATGATTCAAAAAAAATTATCAACCTATTATTAAAAAAAATTCGATATTTTATTCATTCATGAACATAGCAACTAAAAACATAAACATCTAATTGGACCTATATATATCTAATTGTCTCATTAATTAACTATCAATATTAATATTTAAAATTCTGCATAAGCCACTTACACAAAAAAGGAAGTTGATAAAAATGAATTTGAGCTATATAAAGGTCACATAAAACGAAAAGAAGAAATTGGAAAAGAATAAAAAAAGAGAATGAACGAGAAAAAAAAAAGAACAACAAGCTTTCCCTTCAAAGTTTCAGCACTCTTTCAGTAGTTCTCATTATGTAGTTCTCATTATGTATGTAGATGATATTCTACTAACAGGATGTTTGGAGGACATCAAAATGGTCAAGCAACAATAAAAGAAGGGATTTAAGATAAGGATCTAGACAATATGAAGTAATTTATTGGGTTGGAAGTAGCAAGAAGCAATGAGGGCATTTCACTAAACCAAACAAAGTTTTGTCTGGAGCTTTTGGCAAATACAGATTTTTTGGAGAGCAAAACTGCAAAAACTCCACTGAACATGAAGATTATATGCTCTGCATAAAATGTGACTCCACTAGAAGATGGAACTCATTTCAGACACTTGTTGGGTCAACTTTAATACTTGACCTCGACCAGATCAAATATTACCTTTCTAGTACAACAACTATGTCAATTTTAAGCTAATCCCACTGCAACACATCTAAAAGAACTCCAACGAATCTTGAGGTACTTGAAAAATAGTCCAAGTCAAGGTTTTTTGGTTTTTTGCAAACTCATCACTTACATTGAGGATAATGTGATTCAGGATGGGCCACATGTCGTGCTATTAGGAAATCTGTTACTAGTTACTACACTTTTTTGGGTGATTCACTCATAACTTGGAAAAGCAAGAAGCAGAAGACAGTTTCACAATCTTTATTAGAACCGAAATACATAGTACTGGCACAACTTTCATGTGAGTTTCAATAGTTGAAATCATTACTTGCATTCTATGGAATCTCACATCCAGAACCTGTGCAAGTGTTATATGATAATCAGTCAACAATATATATTGTCGAGAATCCTATCTTTCATGAATGCACAAACACATAGAAGTCTATTGTCATGTGGTTCGTAAAATATTAAAATTAGGACTTCTTAAAAACTACTACGCATTGGTACAGAAGAAAAACTTGCAGATATATTCACAAAAGGATTGTCTATGGACAGATACAATTACTTGTTATCCAAGGTAAAAACAAAATACACAACATATGCTTAGTGTCGTGTGAATGTAATGGATGTATGGTTGCTTATGCCCCTGAAAGATTGAAGATACTAGAAAGCATCCATAGACACTCCTTATTGCATTTGGATTCAGCAGTAGGTAGCAGAGGAACAAGATGAAGATGCCGGGTCTAAGCTTTCTTTCACTTGAATCGGGTCAATACGTTGTCGGTCTACCATCGTGTAATTAGTTACTGTAATTAGCATTCATCTACCACTTGGCTTGTGAGCATTGGTAGATTCAATTTGGTAGTTCAATTACTGTCAATTCTACAGTGCTAGGTAGTGCATAATGAGAAGTTATCCAAGAGGAAAGGCAATCTACCAATTCCCACAAACATGGCGTCTTCTTATTTTCATCTCTTTCTCTAAAACCAAAACAGGTTATATAAGCTAAGTTAGAAGTTTCACAATGTTGAACACTCACATATGTGCAAATTGCCTATGTGCTCTTTTTTTCAACTTGTCCTAAAATATCGTTTATAGTTAGGGAAAAAGATTTTGTAAGAATAACTCTATTTAATGTGTTAGAAATATAAACTTTCCCTTGCTACAACTAACAATCACTAGCACATAATAAGTAATCACACCCCAAAAAGAAATTATGTATAGCCAAGTTTTGGATTGCTAACTACAAAAACAATGTGGTGAGGGTCAGGGATAACCCCTAACACTCCTGAGAAGCGTTGCACTCTTAGTTAACTCACTAAGAGGTTTGTTGGTGTATCTAATCAGATTATAGGCGAACCCACCCAGAATCGTGCCCGCAAAGGGCCCAACAATATAGACCCATATTCCTTTATATATACGCATCACAATAGCTGGGCCTAGGCTCCTTGCCGGATTCATCGACGCCCCCGACACTGGCCTGCAAATATTGAAACCACCAATTTGGTAAATGCAAGCAAGTAGTTAATATTTGGGTTCTATGTATAATAAGCCCCTCTATTATGTTTTTTCCTCAAACATGCCCCTATACTTTGAACCACATCAAACATGCCCTTTTACTATCAACAAATTCTCATACATACCCTTCCGTTAGTTTTTCCAATCGAAAAACCGTTAAGTCTCGTCCGACCATGATCGACCCAACAGAAGAAGAAATTCATAATTTTACCCTTCTAATAATATTAAATCATTGTCGTTCCATGATTTCCTTTGTTCTTTTCTTTCCCCTTCCCTTTTGTTTTTTTTTCTTGAATCACCTTCTATAATAGACAGTATCCCCCACAAAGTTATTCTTCAATGAATGAACCACTTGTGAAGTATGCGATACATCCCTAAAACTCCATCCATTTCCCCCTCAATCACCATCGACTCTATGTTGCGGCCTCAACCAAAGAACGTGACTACTCGTTACTTGCGAGGCGAGACGAACATTTAGGTTCATATTTGGAAAGGGGAATTTTTAAACTAGACGAGTTAAGCAATAGTTGATGGGGCGAGCGTGGATAGAGGAGTTGCGATGGGGAACATGCGAAGAGAGGGAAGGGATTTTTTTTGCTTCAACAAGCTTGATTTGGGGTTGGTGATAGGGAAGTGCAGTTGATAGGTTAGAAATAAACGTGTTGTACAATTGTTTTTCACTTATTATTTGGTTGGGTAGATTGATCGAACCAAATTTAACGGATTTTGGGTGGAAACTATGAAATGATATGTTTGAGAAATATTTGATAGTAGCTAGAGGGCATGTTTGATGAGATTCAAAGTAGAAAAACATATTTGAGAAAAATACATATTATAAGAGCATATTATGCCCATCAATAATCACTTACCCGGCAATAAACACGTTTAGCATAATTGTCATTCCAACAGCAATTCCTGCTAGTTCCCCAACCGCTCTATTGTCAGTTGCAACTCCAGAAATGACGAACATGAGGAGAAAGGAGATGATGATCTCAAGAACAAAAGAACGCAGGTTGGGTCCAACCGGTACTGTACCAAAGTAAGCCTCTTCTGGAACGTCAAAAAGCAGATACAATGTTCCACTTGCCAATATCGACCCTAATACCTGTGATAAAATATAAAGTGGCACCTGCATTAGACGATATACAGTTAGCCCAATGTATTTCACAAATCCATCGTATTTGAAATCTCATTTGCTTGTTAGAGTGGTATCGATATAAGGAGTAACCTTTTACCTGTTTGAAGGGGAACTGTCGGAAGATCGCGAAGGTGACGGTAACGGCAGGGTTGAAATGGGCGCCGGAGATGTGACCTACGGAGTAGATCATGACCATCACAATTAAGCCCCACACCACTGAGACCCCTGGGAACGAAACGGAGCCGTACATCTTGTCCACCGCCACCGCCCCGCATCCGGCGAATATCACAAAATACGTCCCCACCACCTCCGCAAACAACTTCTGTAGGAGCTTCACTGTTTCGGCCGATGACCAGAGATTGGATGCCACGCTTTTACTTTGCCCTTCTTCCATCTTCGACATCTCTATTTCTTCGGCCATTTTTTTTTTGTTATTGTTGTTTTGCTCTTTTTATTGTGTAACTCTCCTAAATCTAATCCACCAATATACGAATACGATTGATCTCTTCTCTTGAATCGATGATGATGATGATGACGACGAAGACGACGATGGTGTCAATACCTACAGCTAGCTATCTAACTAGGGCAACAAAATCTGATCTTTCAATTAAGTAGTCTCAACTGCATTAATTCGTTCGTATCATGAAAAAGAGAGAAAAATGGAATTTCAACAGAATAGTACTTTGATGGTGGAAGCATACTGATGAAGGTGACTTTTAGCGATCTGGAATTGCGTGTCCAACCAACGACTTGGTCTCGTACATGCCCCGGCTAGGATCAGGTCATCAACCGAATTTTAAGGGTAACATAAGAAATTTCAACAATATTTTTAAAATGATTTTTTATGGTTATATTGATTTAGTTCTCGTTATTATTTCCATGCTTACTAGTGACCCACTCTTGGGTGCCAACATTTTTTTTTATGGTTATATTAATTTAGTTCTCATTGTAATTTCCATGCTTAAATGTAGGTGGCAATGTTTTTGGTAAATGTCGTAAAGTTTTTTAGAAACAATTTTATATGTCGTAAAATGTAGATATGGATGTTTTTTTTTTTAATTTTGCAAGACTTTACAGTCACATTTTCATATGTCGAAATAAATGTCGGAAGATATATGTACCAACACTTTGTGTAAATATCGAAATGTTCTATTGTCACATTTTTATCTATCGAAATAAAATGTCGGAAGATACATGTATCAACATTTTTTTTTATAAATTTCGCATGGTTCTACAGTCAAATTTTCATCTGTCGAAATAAAATGTTGGACGATATATGTACCAACACTTTCTGTAAATGTCGCAAAGTTCTATAGTCACATTTTCATATGTCGAAATAAATGTCAGATAATGTAGGTACCGACATTTTCTGTAGATGTCGCAAGGTTCTATGGTCACATTTTAATATGTCGAAATTAATGTCGGATAATGTAGGTACCGACATTTGCTATAGATGTCGCAGTATCTTTAAGCGACAAAATAAAAACTACATTTTGATGCAATTAGCCATCATTTTTTATAAATTTCGGCACAAAACTACACCGACAATTTGACATCTTTAAAAGACATTTAAAAATAATGTCATAAGGCCAAGTCCAATACAAAACCCCAAATTTGGGGATTGAACCCCATATTCCCTTCTTTTGCTCCAATGCAACAAAGTCCATATTTGGGGTTCTTAATATTTCCAATTTTTCCATTTATTTAAAAATGTACTTATCAAAACTTTAATATAATTTGTTCATGTTAATTTTTGGGGTGTGCCTACGGTGACATGCATGTCACGGTGACTTGCACTTTCCAGTCGACCTCAGCTAGGATTAGGTCGACCTCATTTAGAATTCGGTCGACCTCATATAGGATCCGGTCGATCTCATTTAGGATAGGTCGACCTCATATAGGATCCGGTCGACCTAATCTGTTGTTTCAGTGTAAAAACAGTTCACGGTGCTTACTTTGGATATTCATATCATACAATTGGCTAGATGGAAATTGAAGACTAATGACTTGTTTTGAAGCTGGAGTGTCCCTCTACATATTGAAGTGATTGATAGCTCGATAGGAAGTCCAGAAGACCATTTTTGAACCTCATCAAAAGGCTATGCCAAAACTGGGAAACTGCCTAGAAATGGCTAAGTCTGGAAACGTGTTTGTGAAGTCTATTTTTGAGCTCAATTCGAGAAGCATGAATGCGAGTCGAGTCCAGAAGCCTCTACCACGTTAAATTAGGTATGTTTTTATACAAATTCAAGGAATTGGATGAAAGATTGGATATCTTTAAGGATTCAAACAAAAGGGTCGAAGTTGCTACGAAGGCTGTTTTTCTGGCAGACTTTGAGCACAAGCAAGCTGCCAGAAAAACAGCCTTCGTAGCAACTTCGAGCCTTTTGTTTGAAGCCTTAAAGATATTGAATCTTTCATCCAATGCCTTTCCTTTGTATAAAAAAATACGTAATTTAACGTGGTAGAGGCCCCTGGACTTGACTCGCATCCATGATTCTCAAATTGAGCTCCAAAGTAGGCTTGACAAACACGTTGCCAGACTTAGCCATTTTCAGGCAGTTTCCCAATTTTGGCATAGCCTTTTGGTCAGATTCAAAAAAGGTCTTCTGGACTTTCTATTGAGCTCCCAAGTACTTTAATGTGTAGATGGACACTTCAGCTTCAAAACAAGCCTTTAATCTCCAATTTCCATCTAGCCAATTGTAAGATATGAATCTCCAAAGTAGGCACCATGAAACTGTTTTTACACTGAAACAACTGATTAGGTCGACCTGATCCTATATGAGGTCGACCGAAAAGTGCATGTCACCGTAGCAAAGTCCTAATTTTTGTATAGTTCGTCATCATTTTTAAATACAAAATTTTTGATAGAATTTTGTTAAATTTCGAGACCGAATTTTTTTTGGCGAAAAATTATGAACCTAATTTTGTTAAATAAAATGAATTCAATTTAAGTCATCTTAGAAAAAAATCCTAAATACACAAATATTAAATACAAATTAAATACAATCTAAAAAGCCTAAATACAAATATTAATTTCCCTTCCCCTAATTAATTACATACAATTCCCTTAATAAATGTCCTTAAACAACTCAACAACAATTTAAAAAAAAAAAAGATGCTGGCGAGCACAGCCGCCGGGGTTGGGCGGTGCGCCACACGCGCAAGTCCCTTGCGCGTGTGGCGCACCGCCCAGCCCCGGCGGTTGTGCCGCGCAGCAGACAACTCATCCTCCATAAATGCTGAAATCTGCAAACTCTCCCCCATATATAACGATCCAATTGCCGATCACCTCCATAATTGTCGATTTTCGGCATTTATTTCTCTGCGTTGGAACTCCAAGATCGACATTAATACCGATAATCCCATAAATGCAGACTGCATTGGACTCAGCCTAAGTAATTTTTTTTGTAGTGTGTCTCTTTTCCCGGCGGAACCAGAATTTGAAATTTCTACCATTCACTCCGCCACAATGGGCCAGCAGAATCACAACTGCTCCCACTCTGCTTCTGACCTCGTCATACATAAAGGTTTCTTGGATGATCAATCATTTTCATTTTCTCCTTCACTAGTAACCTTACGGCGAGGACATTCCATGATTCCATAATGGACTAATTTTGATTAGCATTCTAAACGACACTTTGTTTGTTACTTTGCATCATTAACAATGTTTATGTTAATCGTTATTGATTTTAATGAATTCCAACTATTGCTATTTTGATCCAGTTCATGCATCAATATCTAAAATGAATTCCCTCTACAATACGTCGTTAATAATAAAATCATACAACTTAATATTCACAACACGAAATGTTAATAATGAAATTGTACGAAGCTCATAATTACAAAATAATAAGTAGAATTTGACAATTGCGGAAAAGTAACACGAGGAGTTTATGTGTTTTCCGGAATTAGTCCACGGAGAGCCTAACTCTCACGTTTTGGTTTCTCTATATTTGAAGCAATGGTAGAACTATTATCTTAGGGTTGCAATAGACACAACAATAAAACAAAGATACTCTCCCCTCAAACTGAAGCATGAAGATCTCGAATGTCAAGTTTGGATAACAAAGTATGAATTGCTCTGTACCCAATGGCTTAGTGTATATGTCAACCTACTAAAATGGTGTCCAACCTTCTGGGTAAAATCTCCCCAAAACTAACATGTTTTCGTACGAAATAGCAATCCATTTTGATATGCTAAGTTCATTTTTGAAAAACTGGATTAGCTATATATGAAGCGCAACTTGATTATCGATATAGAGGGCAGCTGAACTTTGTTGAGGCACCTGTAACTCTTTAAGTAGAAAACAAAGCCAAATAACTTCATTAGTAGTACTAGACATATCATGATATTCTACCTTAGCTAATGAGCAGGCAACAACACGCTGCTTCTTGGCATGCCACGAGACAAGAGAACTGCCCAAGTGAATGTAGTAACCAGTGGCCGACCTCCTTGATAATTGACAACCAGCCCAATTAGGGATCACAATTACAAATCCATTGGTAATTTTACCCAAACCCAAGAAACTCATTGATTATGGGTAGGGACTAGGGCATGAGTGAAGTACTGAAGTATATATGAAAGTGAAATTTGTAGATGAGTTTAAATAGGGTATGGGTATTGTTTCCATACTCTAAATGGGTGGATACCCATTTACTTGAGGTTGTTTTAACTACACGTACACATTTCTATTTTTTTAATGAATAAGGAGCCATGTATATCATCAATACAATCAAACTTACAGCTCAACTCATAAAATTTATTTTGTACGTGTTGGGATATACACGTACAAAATTGAATCTATTTGTAAAACTTAAAAAGTTTATATATCAAAATGTAAGGGACAAAACTTGTATGTACTAAATATAATTTTTCATCAATATTTTTAGGACTTATATGTAAAAAAATAATTTAAGTACTAAATCCAAAGATCTATTGAGTCTAGGTATCAAACTATAATTCCCATATGAGTATGGCTACAAATCCATGAATTAAGAACCCAACCAAACCCAAATAAATGGATATGTGTATAAACCCAACAAATTCTACTCATTTACCTTATATTTGGGTTTCATACCTAACCCAATTGGGTTGGAAAAGCAAACACTCATGAATTTGGGCATAATTGCCATCCCTAAACGCAATCAACATCACTGTAACCAGTCAACTTCAATGGACACTGGATGGGAGAAAAAAATGGGTTGGATCAAGTACTTAAACCTAAAACTAATGGAGTTTCATAAAATTTTCTTGCCCAAAGCGAGAGGAGAAAGAAAAGCAAGGTTCAAGTTCAATTATCTAAAAGGGCAAATAAGATAAATCAATATAATGAAATGTAAAATTCAAAATGTAAATATTCAATTTTTTTAAATATGGAAATTCAAAACTAAAAATGTCCACTCTCTTCGTGGCGACTTACAATGATATTATTTACTTTTTGCAATGACATTATCAACGTTTATGAAAGGAATTATAATTGATATACCTCATCAATATTAACAGTTTCAATATACTTATCAATACTTTACGCTTACATTATTAACGATTTTAGTTCAATTGTTAACTATTTACACTCTTCTCATCAACGCTTATGAATGAATTAATAATTATTAAAGTTACGTCACATCTTTATCAACGGGTCCAATAACATTATCATTGACTTACAACATCTTTATTAACGATTCGTTTCATATCATGTTCATAATTAGCCAATCATTGCCTTTACTATGAATTCCAATAACATTGATAACATTTTGCAACCAACTAATATCTCTTTACAATGTCATTCTCAATGTCATATGTGACATACTGCACCTATGATTCAGTCAAGCAAGCAATAGATAAACCCATATCGAACACTATAATCATCGAATATATTCAGAAAGCAACATCAACCATCATTAAGGACCTTGTCAAAAAAAAAACCATCATTAAGGTGTCTTATATGGACTCGAAATATCAATGTGGATAAGATCGAAGCATCTATTGGTTTCTATTGAACTTTGAGGATGTTAGGATGGTAAGTGTATCAAATATGAGTTGTACAGGGTGAGAATTTAATATCAACTTACGCAGTACTGAAGTCTCTAATATTGCAGGAGGGTCTAGACCGATTAGTGGGCTGATTTTCAAGGATAAGAGTAATCCAAGGAGCCACGACAAGGAACGTTACAAGTCCAAGAATAAGAAAGAACGCCATTGAAAAATGGTTTTCTATGGGAAGAGATTGAAATTATTAAATGTGCTCAAGCAGGTACTTGGTAGTCAACAAGATGGCCAGCCTAGTGAGTGGGACGGTGATGTTGCGGAAATGGTTATACTAACAATGTAGGGTGGTTATATTCTCGTGTGTCGAACTAGTATCATGTTTTTCAAAATAGTTTTCATGTGTGTCGAACAAATATCCATGTTGGTTGAACTTGTATTTTGATGTGTCGAGCTAGCTAGTATCCATGTTCGTGGAAATAGTTTGCATGTGTGTTGAACAATTATCCATGTTGGTTGAACTTGTATTATGGTGTGTCAAGGTTTTCCAGGCAGTTGTACCCATGGTTTCCTTCTTTCACTGTTCGCATGTGACCCTTTGGGTAACTATACTCATGTGATCATTTTTGTCACTATTCTCAAGGGACCCTATGATAACTACTCTCATGTGACCCCTCCCGGGGATTTTGAGAGACACCCCGGGGATTTTTTCACGAGCTATTCCCTGGGGTCAGCAACATTTTACCACCCGAGGAATTGAAGATCTGACCCGGGGACTGGGGTTGATAACTCGATATTTACACATGCTTTTGTCCACCATTCTCTAGTGTTTTAGGCTGATTACACGCTAGGTTGTTCTTGTTTGTGATATTTCAGGTTCTAATACGTGAATGAAGTCTGGGGAACGAGTTCGGGGTCGATTGGACAAAGTTAGGACGTTTGACGGAAAGTTGAGGAAATTACGCGGGCAAGAGCCAATTCTACGCGGTCGTACAAGTTGGCCGTGCAAAGCCTTTTACTCAGCCAGGGCCGTACTGGCCGTGCAAGGACACCTTTTGGCCGTACGAGATGTCCAGGGGGGTTTACATGGGCAAGGCTCAATTTCACACAGCCGCGTGGTCTGGCCGTGTGACTTCCCTTGACCAACTGAATGCAATGACGCGTTTTGGAGTTACATGGGCAGCCTGGACTTCTACACGACCGTGTAATCGAGCAGAGCTAATTTTAACCCAATTTCAAGTCTTTGAGAAGGGATCCGAGTTTTGAGAGCTCAAACTGAGTCTTAGAGAGAGAAAGTGCTGAACCAAACCTCCAAGGTGACCTAGATTGAGATTCAACACCATTGGAGCTTGATTGAAATCTAGAGAAGCACCAATTGACAACCAGAAGCTTATTATCATCCTCCACAAGATGATTTCTGCATTTGAAGTTGATTTCTCTTCTCTCTCTATGGAGTAAACTCCCTCTCTTACCTAGGTATGAAGAACCCTAGATTTGTATGTTAGGTTGATTGTATGAACCCAAGTACATGATTTTTTGACATTGATTATATTCAATTGAGTCATGATTTCTGAATTGCATGAATCCTGATCACATTCTTGTAGTTTCTGTTTTGACCTAGAAAGATAATATCTACCTAGGTTGATAGAGCACCCTTAATTGTAGGTGGTGAATTGAATACTTTAGTCAAGGAGTCAATTCACTACTCTGTACTGGATTCATTCCAGTAGAGGAGGTTTTGCACGTTAGGGCCTTAGTTTGTTTACTCTGGTGGGGTTAGTCGCCGTCGGATATTTAGATTGAGAGGGTCTGGAGACCTTTAGTCGAGACTTCAAACTGATTAAGAACCTTTCACAGTATAACTATCATTGAATCTGGACTTGGTGAATTACAATTAGGCTTACCTGCAATCTAGGGGGAACCATATTTGGGTGACCTCTCTCAAACTTGAACCACAACCTTTACTGCTTTGTGTTTGTTTAGTTTAGTCACAACCTCACTACATTTAAATGGCTAAATAATAAGGATTTCACGGAGTAGTCATCACACCTAGGACCCGGGTTGACAAATAAAGCTAAACCCGTTATACTACGCATTAGTAGGTGGTTACACTTGGCCACTTTCTAGTGTGACGGTAAAAGCGAGTTAGGGGTCAGACGAGACAACTTCCTTTTTTATTTAGGATTCCTTTTCTCTTATGTGTTTGGACAATTTTTGTTGTTCACCTAGCCCATATATAGGCTTCAACACGATTTTTAGGGTGGATTTTGAAGAATATTGATTTATATCTTGGTTCATTGAGCGTTTTGCTTATGAATTGTTCTATGTATCAATCGAGTTTCCCCCTTGATTGTGGTCGAGATTCTACCTTTATATTGATAGAGCCTTCTCCCAGGTGTGAGATTGCACTTCAATTCCACCCTATCCTTATTGTTTTATTCCTGTTCTTAGCTGCATTACTTTGATAACTATGGGTACCGGTGCCATGTGGGAGCAAGAAGGTGGACGAGGTGAAAATCCCCGGATTTTTAGAGACACCCTTGGGATTTTTCCATGAGCTATTCCCCGGGGTCAACAGCATTTTACCCGCCCGGGGAATTGAAGACCCGACCCAGGGATTGGGGATCAGACAAGAAAACTTCCTTTTCGGTTTAGGATGCCTTTCCTTTTATGTGTTTGGACGAGTTAATTTTGGTTTCCCTAGCCTATTTAAAGGCTTAAACACGAGTTTAGGGCAGATTTTGATGAATATTGATGTTAACTTGGTTCATTGAGCGTTTTGCATGTGAATTATTCCCTGTATCAATCGAGTTTTCCCCTTGATTGTGGTCGAGGTTCTACCCTTATATTGATAGAGCCTTCTCCCAGGTGTGTGATTGCACTTCAATTCTGCCCTATCCTTTTCTTTTATTCATCTTCTTAGCTGCATTACTTTGATAATTATGCGCACCGGTTCCGTGCTCCTATTAGCCACATGAATTTTACGTATGTAGGCATGTATCCATACAACAAATAATAGTATCTAGAAAGACCATATTAGTACCCAAACAATTCATAAAAGTATAAAGACAATGAATTACAAGCTAATATCCAATTTGAAACCACTATTATTCAAGGTATACTAATTGATATCCACCATAAAATAAACTAGTATTCCACAATAGCAAACTGTTATCTAGACAACATAGAAATGTATCTAAACATAATAGTTCTAGAATTCAAGGTTTATTAACTTATATCCATTGTAAAATAAACTAGTATGCAAAGTTTTCTAGCTGATATCCATCATGAAATAAACTAGTATTCCACAACCACGAACTGATATCTTTCATTAAACCAACTAGTATTCATTGTCTGCTAAACAATATCTAGCATGAAACCAAATAATATTTCACAATAAACAAGTGAAATCCATAATAAAAAAGTCATTTTCAAAAAAGGAGAACTAGTGTCAAACCTCGATACAACTCGTATACAAAGTCATTTCAACATGGCAATTATAACACTCAAAACAAAAAAAGTACAACCACTTAAAAATAATAAGAGGAAAAGTTCAAATGTTGTCTTGTTGGCCCAAAATCTCGACAATCTTTTGGACCTTTGGGCTCCGAGCCACCCACTTAAGGATCATGCTCTTAGTCATTGACTTCAATGCATTAAGCTACACATATGATGTAAAACATTTGGTTCACTATATGCAACCATATCTACCAACACACAATCTTAAGTAGTAAAGACAACATTTACATACCTGGTTTATGTCAAGGTTGATCAAATCCTCGTTCTCCCACCATTCTGTCATGGGCAACTCAATAAGAGCTGTAGGGGGAGTTGAGTTGATTTTCCTTGGTTCCCCCGAACCCTCAACTAGATTTGGGTCTTGTTTTGAGGAGAGGGATCTGACTTCTTTCCTACTAAAAAACACGACAACCAGGTCATATCTTTCTCGTCAACCTTAGGGACAACTTCACAGGCGTTATCCACCCTTTATTCCACCAGTAGCTACAGCTCGGGGTGGTTTTGGTGAGCAAACCTCATAGTCTAAGAAAGTCTATCAAATGGAACTACAAAAAAAATAGTAAATTTACAAATGTTAAGTCAGTATATAAAAAACTAGAACAAAACAATACATATAGCTCATAAATTTACCATCAAGAAGTGGACATCCCGAAGAAGCCACAAGTTCTTCACTCTCTTAGCCCTAGTAGCAGGTTCTTTTCTATTACAAGTAGCCAACTCCACCTTCAGCTCACGGATAACATGATCACTCCAATTATACCCCCCAATGTCCTCCACCCGCCCAGACAGGAACTCGACATAGTCCACCCTACAACGAGCAACAAACCAGTAGCTAGCAACAATAACTGCTTCACGGCCATCGCAATAGGTGGTATATCTTGAATAGGAAAGTCTGTCTCAGTCAGATCCTTTAGATCGACATTGCAGTTCTGGTTACCCTTCATGTCGACTTCCTTTACGAAACTCTTGCGCATCTTCTCCTCACACCTATCAAATACAATCTCATCCCCACGAATAGGAAGCATGTATACACATTCCACATCCTTAGCTTCGATGGTCAACACCGTTTTGTTGTCTCTTTCATCAATCTGGGAATAGCCTTCTCCTGAACGAGCTCTTTTCACACACATGCCACATCCAAGTCTGTCTCATCATCTGCTCCTTGGTTATCTTCTTATACATCTTCTTGTTCAACATGTGGTTCTTTATGATGCATCTGGGATGAGCCTTATCCTGAACGAGTTCTTTTCGAACACATTTTACTTCTTACCATCGTGCAAAATCCTTGAAAAACATGAGTAAGATACATTTAGGCATGTACACAGTCCAGACTAATATGCAAACTACACAGAATAGTATCTACAATTAGAGAACTGAAATCGTGACATCATAGAACTATTATTCAACCAATTTAACCAACTAGTATCATCATTCAACCAAATTGTATCCGAAATTAGCTAAATGGTATCCAACATGTGCTGAACAGGTATTCTACATTTAACGAACTAATATCCTAACAACAAATAAGGGAATCTATACATCACAGATCTAGTATTCAGTCAATCAAACCAACTAGAATTAATATAATACAGAACTAGTATTCAACCACTCATTGGAGAACTAATCTCCACATTTAAAAAAGATGTATTCGAATGGCGCTAAACAATATCCAGCTTTATAAAAGAATAATCTATAAAGATGGCACGAACTAATATCCACTTTTAATGCAATTGCATTCCAAATCGATGAAAAGGTATCTTCGATGTCACCAACTAGCATTACATAACAATAAACTAGCAATCCAACAAACAAAACCCAGAACCCCCATATTCAAATCCAAGAAACCTAATCTATCAATCCGACAAACAAAACCCAGAACCCCCATATTTGAATCCATGAACCCTAATCTAGCAATCCAACAAACAAAACCCAAAACACCTAGATTCGAATCCATGAACCCCTAATCTAGCAATCCAACAAACAAAACCCAGAAACCCCGTATTCGAATCCATGAAACCCTAATTTATCAAATAAACAAACAAAACACAGACCCCCAGATTCAAATCCATGATACCATAACTTCTAATACATAAATCAACGAAGAGATTGTGGTCCGCCTACTTCCACAACTTCCTTCTCGTCGCCTTCTTCAGCTTCTTTCTTGCACTAGCGGCCTCGTCTTCTTCCTTATCCTCCTGATACTATATTCGTATTTTTCCTTCTTCCCCCGGTCGTAAACGAATTTTTTTCCCTTGCGCTACAGTCATCGACAACTTCTACTCCTCGCCCTCCCGCCATCGTCTGTTTTGTGGGATCCCTTGTCGCCTTCGTGTCGTAGGGAATTTATGGTCGGTTTCAGGAGAGCAGAGGGAAGGAGAAAGGTCGGGTGTTTTGTAGGAAATGAAACGTAATAAGTGATTGAGTAGATGAAACTGAAAAAGCAAAAAATGGGTTTTATCATTGGTTTCAGTACCTCGTTTGTTTTTGTTGTCACTATATTGTTATCTCTTCCTTCCCGATAGAAATTTTATCTCTTTCTTTCGTGGTAGGTCATTATCTTCTATACAACTGGGATGGTAACATCCCTGATGTATCAAGTTATTCGGTAGATGAAAATGAATGTGAGAGAGATGCACTCGAGAAAGCCTCAACTATATCATACTCGCGTCTCTGACGAATTCAAAGAATCAAATAGGTTGATTCTCGTTACATCTTATGTTTTAGCTCGAGGAATGAACTATCCTGATGTCAGTTTGGTCATTTAGGTATTTATAAGTCTCCCCATAAGAGAATCTCCTATAGACTTTGTACTTTGCCCATAACTCTTGATTTCATTGCATAAATTCTCAATATAAACCGGGTGGGCATCCCTTGTGAGCGAGAATAGGACATACATCATCTTGGAAGAACCGGGAGGGAAGGGAAAGATGGGCAATGAGTCTTGTTGTTGACTCCATGGGAATAATATTTCCTGGATGAATTGAAGGAAATGCCTATAAAAACACGTTTATTAGGGTTCCTTACGATTCATGTAATAGGATAGATGGAAAGAGATTTAAGGATTAAGAGAAAAAATTAGGGATTTAGAGATAGAGAATTGGGGATTAGGGATTGAAGAACAGAGTTGGGCTTAATAGGGAAAAATGGCCAAAGCCCTTAGGGAGAGAGATAGCCGAGATTTGAGAGAGAAAAGATAGACTAGGATGAGATAATTTTACTAATATTCTTATTGATTCATGAATGAAAACGCAAAGTACATATTTATAGTAAAAGACAGCCCATGTTGGCCTCGATTCTTACCTGTGGCTCAATTTCCTCAAAATTTGGCCCATACACTAGTATTAGAGTCTGGTTCCTTCCACTCATCGACCCAGACTCTAGCTTCTGGTCGACCCACCTTGCCCAAGACATCGGCTGATCTTGCTGATTTTTGGCATGTGACCATGTTGCAACTCGGCCAACTCCTCTCCTAATTTCGACCCGCCCAGATGGTCTATTTTCAGCCCGATCCTCCGTTCAGTCGGTGGTCCGATCTGCTGGTCAGCCTGGCCTAAATCGACTCCAATATTCTTCGGCAGAGAGTTGCCCCGCTAAGACTAGCGGCCCGAGTGACCCGGCCCAACAGGGAGGAGTTCATTTGCTACTATGTGGCCCGGATTGAAGAGGCCAACCTAGGTCTTGCGAGGGGAAGAATGACTATGCCGCCTCCTCTCATCTTCTTCTCAAATGTCGGAAGCTCCGTCATTGCCTTCTTCTTTGACGATGAGCCACGCACCCAGCCACGAGGAGCCAGCTCTGGCGGCTCACCCCCCTGTCAACCCGCACGCTTGGCGATGGGAAAGACTCCTCCCTCGTTGGCTCTGGCTCACCCTCTTCATCTCCTCCCTCGTCGGCAACTCCTTCTCCTCGGACTCCAAGGCCGGCAAACCAACACGGTCACCTGTACGTCGACAAATCCTTCTCTTTCTCATCCTTCGGCGACAATTTGTCCTTCGCTTCTTTTTCTAATAAAGGACACCCAATTCGGTGACAGAAAGATCAACTCAATTCCCTCGTCTTTGTCGCAAACCCGGGATCACCAAGATTCTCCTCTTTGGCGAATCCTTGCATGACTCAAAGGAGACTTCGCCGGCCTCCTTCGTTTGATCCTTTTACGGTGTCTTCTATGTTGCTTCTTCTATCGGCAAATCATGCACCAGGCGAGGGAAAACCGATCCCTCTCTCGACCTTGTCTTCGTCCTTGCTTCCTCTACGGTCAATTCCATCACCACTCTTCATTGCGGCACCCACGCTAGTAGCCTGACCGGCGAGTCATATTAGCGGCACGGCGCAGTCCTTGCCTCACTTTGTAGGTCGGCCTTGAGGTGTACCTCTACAAGTGTCAATCATCTTTTCGACAACCCGGTTCTCTGGATCCCGACCGATGAGATGAGGGTGCTCCTTTAATTCGCTCTTCCCTTCCAAGTTCCTTGTCCGACTCCTTCTTCCTGAACTTCCACCCCTCAAGTTCCTTGGAAGTGGGTTCTCCGACAGTGGCGGTGGAGCTAATTTTAGCACTTTGATGATTGGTAGTGCCAATGTGAGGCTAGCGTCAGCAGCCAGATCTCCTTTCTTGCTACTGGTGGTCACAAAATTCTCAATTGCTGGAATTTTTGTTGAGCCTTCAGCGGTGGTTGGCGACGAAACTGTCGCGATGGCCACGACCACACAAGGGGCTTCTTGTTCATCTATAGAAGAAGCGGCTTGGGTTGGTGGAAGCGGCACACTTGGTGCGGTCGGAGCAGCGGTCGAGATCTCCAGCGGTAGTAGGTCACTCGTCGCCTCTTTTGCAAGTCCCTCTTCATCTGGGTCGAACATTGCAAGCATAGCTAACAATTTCCCAATATCAGCCTCCATTGAGAAGAACAACTGCCACATCTTTGTCCTTTTCTCGAAGCCATCCACAAGTTTATCCATGGCTTTTCTTACTTGCTCGCAACAGGCTTTCATGTTGTAGATCTCGTCCCGATTGAGAGTTGTGATGAACTCATATTAGCAACCGGAGCTCTGATACCACTGTAAGAAACACGTTTGTTAGGGTTCCTTATGATTCACGTAACCGGATAGATGAAAAGAGATTTAGGGATTGAGAGAAAGAATTAGGGATTTAGAGATAGAGAATTGAGGATTAGGGATTGGAAAACAAAATTGGGTAGAATAGGAAAAAATGTCTGAACCCTTAGGGAGAGAGAGAAAAGAGAGACTATGATGGTGATAATTTTACTAATATTCTTCTTATTTCTGAATGAAAATTCAAAGTACATATTTAAGAGACACCCAAAATCCTAACACGCATAATCCCTACTAACCCTAATATTACGTTTCTTACATTGCCTCTTGAGAAATTCCCTTCGCCTGACATAGAATCACAAGTTGAACTTAAGGTCCAGTTTCTTACCCTAAAATATATATGAGTTTCTCAACGAGTGATGCATTAAGTAGTACTAAATTAGGGGTTTGGTGTTTGGGGGTGCAGATGGAGAAGTCTATCACAAAGGTTGATAATAGCATAACATAGGCAACATTAGGGTGGCTACACGGTCCGGTCTGGTTAAATTGGACTAAATTGATTCGGTCTCAGTCCGGTGTTTTCGGGAATATAAGGACTAAAGATTGGATTGGATACAGTCCGGTCTTGATCCGGTCCGGTCTTGACCCGGTCCGGTCCCAATTTTATCTTGATTTTAGGTGTTGGGGGTCTCTTATCCGGTCTTTATCCGGTTTTTTACCTCAAATCTAAGCCCGAATATGATATTGCATTGTTTGCTATCCGGTCCCAGTCCGGTCCCGGTCCGGGTTATACGGTCCGGTTTTGGGTAAAACCAAACAGTTCGGGACCAAATAGCCAGCCCTAGGCAACATATTATGCTTGGCTGAGATACTACAACTAGAGGTGGCAATTTTCAATCCAATCCAATTCATCCACTAAAATATCCAACTAATCCAATTCATTTACAGATCGTTTGCTTCGCGGATTTGAAAAATGATGGTTTTGGTAAAACTTGGGTTTTGTAAAACAATGGATATATGATGGTTTTGTGTTCATTATGGACTTGAAAAGTACCATTGTTTGTTTCATAGATTTCATGATGGAATTGGTTAATTATATTTGTATGTAGGAAGTGAAATTTATCCTTATTGCCCTCATTGGTATGAGAAGCGAAATGAAATAAGAGGACTAGTTTTATCTTAAATGATGGACTTCGAAGTCCAGGATCAATTCTAATCCACTCGATTCATGAATACACTAATTCAATCCACCAATCCATCGATCCAATCTAATTGCCACCTCTTACTGCAACTCAATCAGGGAAATCGGGAAGGACAAGGCGACGCTTGTTGAGCTGGCCAATCAGTTCTGTGGATCAATAGGATTGAAGAAACCACCTTCCATGTTCAGGAGAAGTGCACTGAAAATGGGATTGAAGGACATCCCTGGAATCCGGATTCGACAATAGAAAGGGCAAGCTCAACTAACTTGGAGAAGAGGACCACCTGCTAAAGAGTGAGAGGTAGTCATCGTTCTATCTCTGTATTTCACCCCCACAACTTTTCCTTCACACTTCTACTTTAATTCAGGCAAGAGCAATCGAAACTTTAAGTGAAAGGACTTGGAATTTGGAAATGTAGGAAAAAGTTGCTTTTTATTAATGAATGCATCGACATTCCAACACAGGAAGGGGCATCTTTGATTGCAAAAGGTAGAAAAGAGAAGAAACGCAGAGAGGCTGGCGGAGGAAATGGGCATATGTACTGTTGCGTGGTGGTGTTGGCTCAAAATCCAAGAGCCACATATCTGGCCAACTTGCGAGAAGTAGATTCAAAGAACATCATAGTTGCATGATTGTGGCGACCTGCCCAACAAAAACGACATAAGTGACACAAAATGATGGCTAGCTATCTATCTATATGCCATGCCTTTACGCAGGGTACTCTTGAACAGGGTAATACACCAAAAATCCCTCCATTGGAGATGTCGGAATAGCTGCCAGCCCAATTGTCATTCTTTCTTTGATATTTGATGGCATCTCAATTCTCATCTAGTAAATCCTCCACTCACTGCGTGAAGCCACCTCTGAAGCGAGGCTAAATAGTTAGGATTTTATTATGATTTTGACTCTCGGAAGATAATTCGAGTACATATGGACTTGAATCGGACTATGAGTTGCTACGATTGAATTAGTTGGGGTCTCGCTGTCCGGTCAGCGAGTGGGGTCCAGGGGCAATGCCCCCGGCCCGTAGTGTATGTGCTTAATGTTATTTGGGTTCGGGTTCTGGGTCTGGTCTGCAACCGTTTCCTTTGCCATATTGGATTAGCTTTAGATCCACATGGGAGAAGTACTATAAATATTTCTCATACTCCTCTGTAATCTGTAATCTCCTCGATATACACACATCGTGTTAGTGAACCACGTAAATCGTGTGTCGTGTTTTTCGATTCTCACTTTCGTATTTTTTTTCTCGATTCCGGCGATTTCCCGATCCGTAGCATCGCGTTTATAACAATACATGCAGGGGATATCAACATAACACGTCCAAATCCTTAAGCGCTCAAGTCGTCATAAACCCCAGGTTTTGTTTTGTTTTGTCAAGGACGTCTTTGTTTTGTCAAGGACGTCCAACGTACTATAGTCGATGCTATGCCATTTTGGCCTTGTCCCGGAACATGGTTAATTTTTTGGAGAGGGAAAAAATTCCACACCTACAATTAACATAAGGATGTTTTGTCACTATATCACAACTCATTACTTGTTCATTAATTACTAAAAATTAGTTAATTGATTTCATTCATGACACTATTATTCGACAACAACTTGTACATGATAAATTAGTTCGAGCACGATGGAGATGAAAGTTTATAAGTCATATATCCGTAAGTTTATTTGCTTATGAAACTAGAAAGAGCATTTTTAGTTTCAGCTGTATTAAGAACAACTTCAAAGTTGGATTGACGATCAGTTTGCTAATGATTATTTAATGGGATACACTGAAAGAAACTTGCTTAAAAGTGTACACAACGAATGTATTTTGCATTTGTTTCGGAATACGAAAAACTCGTCGTGGTTGTTTATGTAAAATATAATTGTATTAGTTGATTGTTTTTATCTATGATTGAATTATTTAAATATTATACTTTTAATTATATTTATTAAATTTTTATTATTTATATATTTATATTTTGAAAAGAGGACAGGGATAGTTTCTAATCTGCCTTCGCCAGTGACACGTAAAAGGAATGAGAATAAGACTTGTTAGTGAAAGAATGAGAATAAGCAATCTAACTGATGCGCCGTGATCTAAAAGTAACCACGTAATTAACCCAACAGCGTAAAACCTAACATTCACAACGTCAACAACCATGTTCCAGATGTGATTGTCAAACACATACTCGAAATTTAGGTAAGCCCCAAATAAATTTTGTAAAAGATGTGAACTGACAGAGTTGAAAATCTATATATATATGGGTGGTTCTATCGTACCTTGGATAAAATCAAGGGTACGGTATACCTTGAGCAAGAAAACACTATATGGACCTCGAATTTACCGGAGTTTGACATATGGTATTATTCCCAAACCTTATAGATGAAACTCTAGGTCTTAATTCTATAAATCTTATACACTAAGATCAATTTAATTAGAAACAAAAATCGACGGTCATGATTTGTTGAAATATATGCAACAAATTACATGGACAATCTTAGGGGTTAAGCTCTATAATTATGAAAACTAAGACCTAGGGTTTACTCATTATGGGTTAGGGTATCGTATCATGCCCAAAAATCCGGTTAATTCGAGGTCTAGATAGTGTTTTCTTACTCAGAGTATATCGTACCCTAGATTTTACCCAAGGTACGATAGAAGCCACCATATATATATATATATATATATGGTGTCGTATTCGGTGCACCCACTTTTTCGGATGCACTCAGTGCACCCGCCTCATAATTGTCATTCTGACCATGCGATTCATGTCAAAACGATATCAATTGTTGCTTATGATATTATGAACAAGAAGCACATGAATTTGAAAAAAATTCATTCAAACTTTACTTTAATTCGAAGGATTTAGGGATTTAGGATTAGGGTTTAGGTTTACAATTTGGGATTTTAGGTTGGGATTCAAAATTGAATGTTAAGGGGTTAGGGTAATGGATTGATTTGTTATGATTCTATGTCATATCATCATATTATATTGAGAGTACTAATTAAGTTCAAAATTTGATATATTATGGACGCTTTTAGAGTTGTGTGCACCCAAAAAAGTAAGTGCACCGAAGTAGCCAATATATATATATATATATATATATATGAGAATGTTTGCATTTATGTTCTCTGATTATTATTCGTGATGTCAACAAAGTTCACAACAATATTACATAAAGATTAAGTATAGTGGAAAGAAAGTATAGAAAATAGGACTACTATTGTGGTTCATACAGCTGGAATCTTGATTAATGTGGATAAAATTGATATCACAAGTGAAAAAGATATAAATAAATACGATAGCCATCATCCACTAACGTAACCAATGGGTTTAGAAATTAATAAAATACCTTCTTCCCTAATCATTTCATACACGATGAACAACGACGACAAAATTAGACAGAAAGTTACGTGGGCGAGCGGCGAGAGTGGTGGACTGGACGGTCGCGACGAGAAACGACAAAGACAAGAGAGGATTTTGTGGAATCTCTTCTCCCTCCTTTTATTTAATGCAGCAAAGCAATTGCAACGTCGTTTCCCCTCAACCCACCCTTTGCTTAATTCCCTTTCTATATTTTTCCTTATTAATTAACTAATATATATAAAGAAGAAGTAACCCTATAATTTATATTTTATATTTTGATACTCCAAATTTAATTCTTAATGTAAAATATCATTAAAAAAATCATGTTTTGGTATCTAAATTCTATTTATTATGAGATTTTAGGACATACAATTTTTTTAATTTACATATTGCTAAACATTGGATCCATAATACAATTCATAAATCCAATCCATTTAAAATAATACATGAATCGAATCCATTGCCACCTCTACTAGAAATAATATATTAATATATGAATCTCAATAAAGATGTTCATTTCAATTCTACTATACTTTAACTTTCAAGTATTGGTGTTTCCAGATACAAGTTTGATTTTTTTCAATACTTTAAAGTTAAGGACTTTGTTCAAGTAAATCTCAATACTTTAAAGTTAAGAACTTTGCTACGGTGACTTGTGACTTGGACAAAACGGTCGACCTGTTCACTGATATGGTTGACCTCTTCACTGATATGGTCAACCTATTTGGATAAAATGGTCGACCTCATTGTCGGAATGGTCGACCAGATGTACTATTTTCCATTTTGCTATGTTCGACAAATTGTTAACCTCTTCCACTTAAAGGTCGTCCAGTATAAAAAAAATGGTCTATCACTTCCATCAAGTGGTTTATCTCTTCCCCCAAGTGTTCCACCTGATGAACCATTGCTAGTGATATCATCATATATATAAATATAGTCCAATAACATTAGATATGCTTACAAGTAAGAGATTTAAAATTAGTGCAAAGGTTGCAAGCATAAATAACAAGTTTCTAGAGTGATTGTTCTCCCATAGATGTGAAAAATGTTCCGCATATTTATTTCTTATATTGACTTACTTTATAGAGACATTCATCTTTTTTTTTTCAAATTCTAAGTTTTCTTGTTTTCATCCTATAGTTGTCTTGTGATGGACCAACTTTGTTGCTATTTTTATTATGAAAATGCTAAAAAAGTCGACTATATTTGTTATATACAATTATATTGTGTCATCTTCAACTCGTCCATAAATCTCATATCATCACTTTTGTGGATTTTTATTCCACAAGAGTAAAAAGATGATGTTTCTTTTTGTCTTGGCCTATTGGTGGAATAGGACTACTACTTGAAGATAAGTGTGTCATCAAGTCGACCCATTTTCGGAAGTGGTAGACTGGATGACTCAAGTGGTAGACCACTTGGTGGAAGAGGTCGACCATTTTCTTGAAATAAATATGCGACATCCACATAAGAGTTGTCAATAGATTGCTACAGTAAAAAGGATTGATTGTAGTATTGACGGCCAACAAAAAGAGTTGGTCAAAACATTTACATCATCTACTTCCTCTTCGTTTCATTTTTCATTCACCTTCCATTACTTGTCTTTATTTCATTATTTGCCTTCTTCGTCCAACCCTAACTAGTATACTATTTATATGTATTCTAATTCACAAGTATGAACGGTTCCATACACGACTCACCAATAGTCTATAAAATTAATAACTGAATCATGAACCACTAACTTTTTCAGCTCAATGCCGAGTCCAATTAAAAAAAAAACATGGTTTTCTAATTATTATAAGATCGTCATTTTCCCCTATGAGATTTGAAGGCGTGAAATTTTAAGCAACATCCAGTTTGTATTCCTTTTGCTTCTCTCTAGAGTTTTTCTTTTCCACCTGGTCGGGCTAGACTTTTCAACAATTATGCATGAAATGTTTGGATAGGTATACACATATCAAATAAACAGTCCTCGTTTTTCTATAAAAAAAGAAGTAAACAATTATCATCTTAAATAAATCACTAAAAATGAATTAAATCCCAACGGTCAACTACGACGACACAATGGTTGAATAGCCCGTGACAAAGTACGGTTTGAGCCTAATATATATAGATGTATATATAGATGTATGCATGTACACGATCCAAATATCGATCTTGTTGTCCAGTCTTGTTCCATGAATAATTATGATGTGAAAGGAAACTTACATACCAACCAAGCCAACATTAGAGGTCAGGCCGGCAGTAGTAGTGCCCAAACTAACAAGGGAATTGTTGAAGCAAATGTGGCACCTCCACAAAAAGGCCTCTAACAAGTTGCCTTGCCGGAGGAACTAAGGCATGTCATCATCATAAGTGAGATAGATAGAGAGAGATAGAGTAGCTAGTAGTTCAATGGGCAACCGCAATTTCCTAGATTGTACATCTTCTGCTATTTCCCACCTGCATTAGAAGAAAAGGGCAGTTACGTTTAGTCTTTAGTGCAAGAATATTGTTATGGAGATGGGCAGCTTTCTTTCTTTTTGGGTTGCCTTTTTCCCATCTTCTTTCCTATAGTGGGATTCTCAAAGGGGGCTTTGGTAGAAAAGGTCACATTTTTACTGCAATGCATCAAAATACAACTTGGAAAGCAGCAAAAGCAGGATTAGTTTTCTTTTAATTTGTGATCAGTGGGGAAGCCCATCAACTCATTTGGATTGGATTTACCTTCAAATTAAAGCAAGTGTCTTTTAGTTTAATATATGGGTTACAATAATCGTCGTACCCGCAAAGGTGATTTCTTGGGACAACTTTCTAATCAAATTTTGTTAGAAGAAAAGCAATTTTGACTAGAACATGACAACAACATTTCCAGATAAGCTAAGCTAATCATATCGATATTCTATCCTTAATTGCATGATGAAGGGTACTAATTACCCATTTCGAAAAGCAAATGTGGGGTTTTACATATGTACATGCATGTTGACTTGGAATCCTACTTCAGGAGCAGTTTGTTTGGTGTAGAAATTCAAAGAGAAAGGGAAAGGGAGCATATTTGAGAAAAGCAAAGATAAGGAAGAATATGAGAGAGAAAAAAGTAGTACGTGGGGTGGTGGTTGTTTTGTGTACCTTTGCCCTTTGCGCAGAGCTTTGCGATGAAGGAGAGAAAGACAATGAGGAGGGCAACCCCGGCAATTAGACCGATTAATATCGCCAGCGTCTTCTCGATCTCGTCATCGTTGTTCTCACCTTTCTCGTCCTTGTTACCTACTTATTACACATATAAAAACAATTAATCATAACAACAATTAATATTAACATTACATTACATATATAGCTAGAAGCAATTATTGGGGTTATTATGATTGCAACAATAACAGTCGTATGATGATGATTAGGGCTGGCTATTTGGTCCCGGACTGTTTGGTTTTACCCGAAACCGGATCGTATAACTCGGATTGGGACCGGACTGGGACCAGACAGCAAACAATGCAATCTCATATTCGGGCTTAGATTTCAGGTAAAAATCAGATAAAGACCGGATAAGAGACCCCCCAACACCTAAAATCAATATAAAATTGGGACCGGACAGGATCAAGACCGGACTGTATCCAATCCAATCTTTGGTCCTTATATTCCAAAAAGACCGGACTGGGACCGGATCAATTTGGTCCAATTTAACCGGACCGGACCGTATAGCCACCCCTAATGATGATGGGAAATCACTACTAAGTGTTGTAATTAGTTGCGAAATCATTTTCTCTTCCGCTCAAAATCATTGTAATAGAAATTTTTTTCCGTTGAAGTTGATACCAACCTTAATCAATGTGACAAGTAGAGTCATTATAGTCAAACACAATGATTAACTATCCAAGTACGTAACATGATTGACAAGTAAAAAGTGAGTAGAGAGTCATTAGCAAGAGGAATATATACAATACAATTATTGTACCATCCAATCCAATCCATTTTGCATCGGATATATGCTTTGGCTTCATTCTTTCTGGCTCCTTCTATTAATTTAGTGGGGCTATTTTAGGCTAATTAACCAATTGTCTTGCTTCTTCTGCCCTATGTTTTACGTATCTCTTAATTAATTAATTAATTGGTCGAGTCAAGCATGCGGCCGGATATCATCAGGCAGATTTCCTTTCGGGTTTTGTATTGTTGCATTGCATTGCATGCTAATCCTCCATCATCAACTACTACTTAATTGGTATTCTCTTTCTAATTCTAACTCACGAATATCCTTTTCTCCTTCTAATATATTCGAACCGCATATCTCATCATTAGCAGGAACAATACAAGGGAATATTAATTTTTTTTAATTTGTGTGACGTGTGCATGCCTAACAATTAACATCTTAACTACCCTTTTCGAATATATATAGTAATTAACTAGCTAGTTAGGTGTTTAGTTTAGTAAACCGCTCACCAAATTTCCCTTGAATTGAACTCGGTGTCATTAATCACTACTGTATCTAAACGTTCTACTTTTCTTATATCATTTGCAACACATTCTTAACTCACGCAAATAATTAATTCAACGACACAAATTAATTACCAATCACTTCAGCCCTACCTTCTGTCTTTTTTTTTAACTTGAAAAGGGGATCAACTCCAATAATTGAGTCATCTTTATTTGGATTAAAAATAAAGTACGTGGGGTCATCCATACCATCCGAGAAAATATTATTGTCCATGTTGTCTACCCTAAATATATAAAAGAAGGGAGAAAAAGGACTCGTCCACAGACACTGCTACTTCACATTTGATCATGATTACAAGGGTTATTAATTAATCACACTTAAAAAGAAAATAATACCGATTAACATTAACGGCGGGAAGGGTTAGGTTCTCTAAAACCTCATGAAAAAAAAAACACATCCCTACACTACAGCTTCACATTTTCCAGTTAAAAAAAAAAAAAAAAACAGGAAGATGAGGGGGGAAAACGGGGTAGTAGTAGTACCGTGGCCTCCGGAGCCCGAGTGAGCGCCACCTTCCGAGAACCGCGCGTAGCACTTCCCCAAGAAAACGTCACCCCAGGCGGCGGCGGCGCAGTTGGATTTGAGCAGCCCCACCGCCTCCGACACACAATCCTGACACTGGCTCCCGCTCAAGTCCTGCACGCACTGCGCCACCGCGTACACATCCCCGGACCCGCCCACCCTATACGCCTTGTAGTACGCCGACCCACCACTCCCGCCGCTACCCGCCACGTAGTCCAGCACGGCGTCCCTCCTGGCCGACGCGCCGGGGCCGTAACCGAGCGACGCGCCGCACTTCTTCATCACCACGCTCTTGTCCTGGACGCCCAGGAACGTGGCGTTGTCGTACCTGACGAAGCAGGCGTCCAGCTGTAACGCGCCGCCGGTGGCGTCGGGGCAGAGGGTGGCCAGCTGGGTGACGGCCCTGGCGACGCAGGAGCGGCAGTCGGGCGGCGTGAGGTCGCCGCGGCACTGGTAGAGGCCGTAGAGGGTCGGGGCGGCGGTGGAGGAGGAGTAGGGAGGGAGGGATTGGGAGGTGAAGTTGTTGTAGAGGGAGAAAGGGGCGGAGTTGACGAGCGAGGTGAGTAGCGAGTTGAGGCTTGACTCGTAGGGTGAACCCGGGGTGTACTTGAGCTGCGAGCACCCGCCGAAGAGGAAGGTGTCGATTGGGGTTGACGCGCCGCCGGAGGCGAGTAGTAGGAGTGAGAGTAGGAGAATGGGGAGGGTGCGAGTTGTTGCGGCCATTTTTTCTGATGGGGTTTTTTTCCTTCCTTTTTTTTTCTGAGTTGGGTGAATGGAAATGGGAGAAAGAATATAAAGGTGGAGAAAGGAAGAGTGGTAGTGGTGGTGGTAACTAATAGTAGATGCTTGCTGACAAAGATATAGAGAGAGAGAGAGAGAGGGAGGAAGAGGGGAAATGAGGAGATGGAAATGGCGTTTGTGGGTTGTTACTTTTTATACAAGTTACAAGAGATAGAGAAATGAATCACCAGAATTTGGCGAGGGTTCATTTCGAGTTGTGATAATGGTATTATTGTACGTACGTATTTATTTGTAGAGGGAGAGGAGAGGGGGAATGTGTGTCCTGTCAAAGTTTGGCACCTTTCATTCAATAAGGTGGTGCATGGTTTTCTTCTTTATTTGTTTTTATTATAAATATTTTTCTGTATATTCCGGTGGTCGACATTTGCCACCTTTAATATAATCGCCGTAAAATATCTTTGATTTGAGAAGTGTTGGGTACGTACATGGTATTGCTTTGCTTTGAGAGGGAATTTACTTGCTAAAAGAAATGAAGACTGGAAGATGCTAATCGATCTAGCTTACTGCACAGTTACAACTTACATGTGATGGGAGCTGAAAGGGTAAACGTACAGAGAGGCACAGAGGGTAGTTGTTGTGGAGTAAAACGAGTAGTTATATATTTGACTGAGTACATATATAATAATATATTTATTCGCCCTTTTTCTATTAAGTTGATATAAAGATTAGGGCCGCTAGCCGTTCGCGAGCGGTTCGGCGTTCGATTCGAGAAAAGCTCGTTCGAAACTCGGCTCGTTAATAAACGAGCCGAACACGAGCTCACCTTTGTTCAGCTCGTGAAGCTCGCAAGCTAGCTCGACTCGGTGGCTTGTTGAGCTAAACTCGTGAGCTGGCTCGTTTAGAGCTCAAGATATGTCTTAACATGTGGCTAGAGAGCCAACTCGATTACCAACTTATGGACGAATCATTCTATATCTTATGATTTTAATTCATATGGTTGTTAATTTATATATCTCACCATATATAAAGTTTTGCACGTTGAGTATGTGAGCAAATATATCTTATTTTCTACTTTAAAAAGAAATTATGCATCATAGATTGCTTCGATACAATGAAATAACATGATTTGCAGTAGTTAAAATTTATTAACTAAACAATATATGATACCAACAAAGTATAAAGTATAAGATGAGATTAACTAACAAAATATGATACCAACAAAGTATAAAATTTATTAACTAAACGATATATGATATACAAAATGAAGTACCAAATAAAAGTTAAGATTTTTAATAAACAAACTAGCTCGAACTCGACTCGACTCGTTAATAAACGAGTTGAGCTCGAGGTCGAGTCGTTTATTAACGAGCCGAGTTCAAACTGGGGTAAAACTCGACTCGACTCATTTGCAGCCCTATTAAAGATATGACAAATTAGCAAAATGGTGCAGACGAGTGAAGCTGTTTCCTTTTAGCTTAGCTAGTTTGACACCAACTCTTGATCCTATAGCATCCAAAACAAAGTGAAATGTTAACAATAAATTAAACTGACGTAGCCAGCAGTCAACGGTAACCCAAAAGAAGAAAAGGTTGAACGTAACTTCGTGGTAACTATATGCGCCACCTACAAAGTATTACTTACTTTTAGGGATGGTATTAATAATTAGCCAAAATTTTCTCGTATTCTTTTTTATTAATCAAATTTATTGAATTACTAATAATTAAGCAAATGTTAACTTTTGGTTAGCGATTTTGTTAGTTTTATTGACTTAGAAACATGATACTGACTTGGAAGAAACACATAGAGGTTAATATTTCAAAACTTTAGTATATTAACTAAGAAAAGAGTTGCAAAACTATTAACGATAACAAAAAAAAAGCTAATATTTTGTATGCATTACAAAAGATTTGGCTAATAATTGGTATTAACTCTTACCCTCTGTTCCCGAAGGAAGGTAGGAAAATGGAGGGGAGGGGAGGGACAATTTGGAGGTTAAGGAAATTTGAAGGAAAATTGTGTTTTATGGAGGAAAGTGAGAAAGAAAATGTGTATTGGGAATTGTGATGGATATGTTATTTTAATGGGTATATAATAGTAATAATTTGAATATATGTTGATATGATTTTCATTGTTTATGAATTGTGAATTATATTTGTACTTTGTTACTCATTTTTATTGTTTATAGTAGTCTCCTCATTTTTATTTGGTTATTGCTACTTTGATTTTAATAGGCAACCAATTTGTTAATATTTTAGCTACAAAAATATAATTGTTACAAAGATCCGTACGGGCATGTATACGTGCATCTCTTTTTCGACTTTTACTATATGTTGGATCCAAATATGACCTGTTATTTGGTGCAACGCTATAAATGTATGAATAATATAATGGCTTTTCATATTCGAGCTAAATCAAACTAAAGTGGTTGGACCATTAACCCAGAATCTCCTTACCTAGCGAATCACGAATTAAATTGGCAATTCCCCTTATTCTATTAAATATGAACGAAATTTAACCCTTATCCCAATTTCGTCTCTCCCCATTATAAAAATTGCCCCAATTAATTGTTATCATTTCATTAGTTATTATCTAATTAGGGTGATAGTTTTGTTTTATATGGTAGGGCAATGGGGTGGGTCCATACAGAAAGAGGCAAAAGAAAGTAAGAAACCGCAGAACAAAATAAAAAATGGATAAAAGCAAGGGAAAGTTTGGGTTTCTCTCCAATTTGGAGGGTCAGCCCCTCTCAGTAAATTTTCTTTCTATTTTCTTTCCCTCTGCTACTTAGAAAAATTGGAGAACGGGGGAAGTTTCTTGGTTCTCCCATTTTCTATCCCAACCTTCCCTCCCCTCCCTTTTCTTCCCTTCTAGAATAGAGTGTTAATTTTATTGCGGTCCAAAGTTTGGCAAAATCTAAAAATGGCTCGTGTGGGATAGCAAATAACGCTATTCGGGATGAAGGAAGTACCCAACCACCTCTGGTTGTTTGAGGTTTGGAAGATCTTGAAGAATTATGCGGAATAAAAAAAAATTGTTGTGATCGGATAACCGACCGCAAAGTTACGTTCGTTCGAAGTTTTGGCCAAGGTTAGGCGTTCACTGCTTCTGACGGCCGCGGTGAACCGTTCACCGCTTTTCTCGGGCATGGTGATACTATTCACCGCTTTTATCGGCCGTGGTGATACTGTTCACCGTGTCTGACGGTCGAGTGAAGGCCAAACATGTGTAGATTGGGAATATTTTCATAAACGTGCGTATTTTGGAAAAAAAAATTAAAAACACACTTTGTTTGGAAAGAAAAAAAATCCAGTATTATAAGGGTATAAAATATTATTAATCGTAATCGATCAATAAAGCCTGCTTTCATTAAATAAAAAGTACATGATCCGATTTTGCTCCATCCAAATGAGTTCCACTTTCGCCGGAAATTATGGAATCAAAATGAATGGATTAATTGCAAGAATGGTCACTGGGTTTACTAAAACCGTTCATGTTTGGTCACTGCAAATATTTAATTCCATTCATGGTCACTAAGATTAGTTCAATAGTTCAAGTTTGGTCACTCTCCGTTAGTCTCTGTTAGTTTTTGTTGATGTGGCAGTCAACTATTATAGTTGACCGTTAAATGAGTGACGTGGCCAATAAAAAATAATAAAATATAAATATTTACATTTTCCACCTCATTTTACAACTATTAAAAATAAAAATAAAACTATTTTACAATTTCCATCTTCTTCCCAGACGAAAACCTAAAAATCAAAGGGTCAATGACTCAATGGACACAAGATTGAATTGAATCCCTGACCCAAATTGGATTCCAGACCCGACCCTCAAATTGAATTCCCCATCTTTCATTTGAATCCCATACCCAAATTGTGATTTCGGACCCATCGTCTTCCCCATCCGACCCAATGGCATCTTCGATTTCTCCATCTAAATGAATCGACGACGAACAAGAAAGGGAGATTCGGCACTGAATCGACGGCGGAAGAGAACCAGGCGGAGCCGGCGCTCGAATCGACGGCGAAGTCTAGCCTCCTTCTGGATGCTGCTCGCTCCGTCTATTTGTCGGCGACTCGCCGCCGCCACTGAAAATAGAGAGATTGAAACATAGAGGACGAAGGAAAGCTTCGAGTTCCCATATTCGACCTCCGAGCTTCGACCTAGAAACCTAGATTCGGCGTCCTCTGTTTCTGCTCCGGATCTCAATCTAGACATCTCCACCCCAAAAGGACGTCGTATTGAGAAACGGAATACGATAACGGAAATGCAAAACTCGGATTTACGTGGTATCCCTGGATTGACCAGGACTAATCCACGGAGGAGCACGAAAACTCCTCGTCTACTGTTTTACTGATGATAATTTGATGATTACACAAGGCTGCACTCTACTCATATACACCACGCTACCGTGAACCCTAGAGTCATTAGGTTTCCACGTTAATCACACCTAATGTTCATGGGCTGCATGGGCTCTTCAATGCTATTGGGCTCTCGTGTCCTGTACTACTACTACTACAATACATACGTGACTTATACGATTAACAGCCTCCCCCAAATTGATGCGTGTCTAACAACATCAATTTTCTAGATAGAAACCAATGTCGACTCGTGCTAAAGGTCTTCGTAAATAAATCTGCAACTTGATCTTCTGTATGTATGTAGTGTAGTGTAACTGTTCCATCACGTACCATGTCCCGCAAGTAGTGAACATGTATCTCAATGTGCTTGGTGCGATCATGAAGAACTGGATTTGCCGCAATCCGAATAGCGCTAGTATTATCAACCATCAGCTCCATGGGTACAGGGCACGAAACCCCAAAATCAGCAAGTAACCGTCTTAACCAGACTAGCTCAGAAGTAACATCAGACATCGATCTGTATTCTGCTTCAGTGGAGGGCTTGGAGACCTTATCTTGCTTCTTACACCGCCATGAAATGAATGAATCCCCAAACTGTACACACCATCCTGTAGTAGAACGCCGTGTATCGATACACCCTGCAAAATCTGAATCAGAAAATGCCCGTAGCCTAGCCACCCCTCTCGACTAAAACATGATCCCCACGTCTTTAGTCCCCTGTAAGTATCTCAGTATCCGATGTACTGCAGCCAGGCGATCTATACAAGGAGCAGACATGAACTGACTCACCAATTGCACGACATAGGAAATATCTGGTCGAGTAGCTGCCAAGTAAATCAAGCTCCCAACTATGCTACGATACTGAGATCCATCCTTAAGACGTTCTCCAGACTCTCTACTAAGCTTAAGATTAAGCTCCATAGGCGTGGATACCGGCGTGCAGTTCTCGAAGTTGTGATCATGCAAAAGATCTATAATATACTTCTTCTGACATAGTAGGATGCCCTTACCACCACGAGAGACTTCTAATCCAAGGAAGTATGACAACTCCTCAAGATCCTTGATCTTGAAAGCTGCCTGTAATCCGTCTTTCAGTCTGCTAATACCAACAGAATATGATCCAGTAATAATCATATCATCCACGTAAAGTAGAAGAACAACAATACCCCGAGAAGAAGTCTGCATAAAGAGGGACGGATCATTGAGACTTTGGTGAAAACCCAGCCCCACCAGCTTTGACTGGAATTTCTCAAACCAAGCTCGCGGCGCCTATTTCAGACCGTATAGAGAGCGATGTAGCAGACAGACTTGGCCAGGAGACCCAACATGATATCCTGGCGGTCGTTCCATGTAAATAACCTCATCTAGATCCCCGTGCAGAAAAGCATTCTTGACATCGAGCTGTAAAAGAGGCCAATTCTGCTGAGCAGCAACTGCAAGTAAAACCCGAACAGTAGACATCTTCGCCACAGGAGCAAATGTCTCATGATAGTCTACCCCCGGCTCCTGTGTGTAGCCAAGGGCTACAATCCGCGCCCTGTATCGTTCAATTGTCCCATCTGGATTGACCTTTATGTTATATACCCAACGGCTGCCAACACTCGATGTGTTGGGTGATGGACGATCAACGACAGTCCAGGTGTTATTAGCGTGCATGGCATCAGTTTCGCAGTCCATTGCCGGTTCCCATAAAGGATTACCCTTGGCCTGTTTGTAGGAAGTAGGAATCTGTAATGAGTTAACTCCATGAGCGACATAGTCGTTAAATTTTGGTGGGGGGATGCCCTGGGTAAGCCGCAAGGAACGTCGTGGTGGGACAACTTCTGTGGGTGGCGGCCCACTAGCCGAGACATGGCCTGAAGAAGATCCCAAGCCAGCAGATGTCGCCGGGGAGAGAGGAGACGCCGAGGTATGGGCCGAAGAAGAACCGGAGCTAGCGGATGGCATGGGAGAATGTGGCGGAGACACCTCATCATTAGGGGAAAGTAAAGGAAGGTCGTCAGCAGGCTCATCAAAATGGAATATGGGCAAAAAATTGACACCAGGAAAGACAGACTCGGAAGTAGGGGTGTGATCAAAAAAAGGTAAATGTTCAAAAAAGATGACTGTATCTGCGATCCTAATACGTTGAATAGTAGGATCATAACACATATAACCTTTGTGAACATCACTATAGCCTAAGAAAGCACAACGAGCAGTTTTGGAAGTTAGTTTTGTGCGTTCTCGTTTTGGGAGAAGAACAAGACATAAACAACCAAAGACACGGAGACGAGAATAATCAGGATGACGTGAAAAAAGAGCGAAATAGGGACTAGTGTTACCAAGAACGGTCGTGATTTGGTAATTTATCAGTTTCACTGCAGTCGCCACTGCCTCAGGCCAAAAACGACCGGGAACATGAGAAGACAGCAAGAGAGCTCTGGTAAGTTCCAAAACATGACGATTTTTACGTTCCACTAGCCCGTTTTGTTGGGAGACTCCAGGACAGGATTTGTGACACAAAATACCACGATCACGATAGACAGCATGCAAAGGAATCGAACTAAATTCCCCACCAGGATCTGAACGGATTATTTTGACAGTAGGACCAAACTGAGTTTGTATCATGTTTAAAAACTCAATGGCAACAACTTTAAGTTCAGATTTCATACGTAAAAAATAGATCCAGGTAAACCGAGTAGCATGGTCAATAAACAACGCAAAATACCGGAAACCATGTCTACTAAGAGTAGGTGAGGGACCCCAGAGATCGGTATGAACAAGATGAAACGGTTCTTTGATAACAGTGACACTAGAAGGAAAAGAAATACTGACTGTTTTAGCTTCGACACAACTTTTACAAGAATGTGAACCAGAAATCCCAACATTGTTTTTACTAAGCAAAGATTTTTTAAACATAAGAGAAAGACGTCCAGTATGAGGATGCCCTAGCCGGTAATGCCAGAGATCACATACATTATTTGAAACACTGGAAAACACAGGATACGGACTACTGACAGGCCTATAAGAAGTACTACTGACAGTTGACGGAATAGAATGTCCATGTAATTCCTCTAAATGAAATAGCCTGCCTCTCTTACTCCCCCTTCCGATCGGCCTCCCCGTCTTCAAGTCTTGTACAATACACCCAGATGGAGCAAACAACACAGAATACCCTTGCTCAGTAAGTTGTCCTATCGAAACCAAATTTGGAACAAGTTGAGGCACATGCAATGTATTTTGTAGCAAGATAGATTCTGTAACTACATTACCCACTCCATTAACCGCCAACTTATCTCCATTTGCCACTGTTAATGCCATATCATTGATAGGTTTTACATTTCTTAGCATTTCTGACTTCCTGGTCATATGATTATAGCATGCACTATCGAGTAGCCATGGCAAAGAGGTACCTGATCCTTGGAGAGTAGCAAATGCGGCGCTGATGGCGGTTGGAAGAGATCGCTGCAAGGCTGCATTTACTAATTGCTCGACAGTATCGGCTGTAACTCCGGAGCTGCTACCTGCATCCATGCGCTGGCCATTGTGTTCAGCAAAATACGGACCTTGTGCAGGATGAGTGGCAGGAACCCAGCTGTTGTGCTCGGCCGGGAAAACTCCATAACCATGGCGGTCACCATAGCTAGGTCTCGACCCACCAAATCCTTGACGGTCCCCTTGTCTATTTGAACGACCAGCAGCAGTGGGGACAGCCCATTTTGCCTCATTCCTTTCCTGAGATCGACATTCGAGAACAATATGCCCCATGCGTTTGCAATAAACGCAAAAGTTCCAGCGTTTGCAATGTTTTTGTAAGTGTCCTCTTTCCCGGCAATGATGGCACTCCAATTCAGTCCCAGGAATTTGCCTTTGAAATTGTGGGCGATCTACAGCAAGCACTACAGGACTAGAACTCATACCTCGTGCGGAAGCGGTAGCGTCAACAAAGGTCTCTCCCTCTCCAGGACGTTGATCTATTAAGGATTGGGTCCTCATCCTTGTTTCCTCACGAACCAACGTTGCCAATATCCCATCAAATTTCAGTTCCTCTTTATTGAGCAACGTCGATCTCACCGCCTCAAATTCAGGCCGCAAGCGCATCAAGAACTCGAGGATTCTGGTTCGCTGTCTTTCAGCAATGGTATCTTCAGTCATGGCGATTTGAGGTCGCAACGCAGCTTGAATGAGGTCTTGCTCGGTCCATAGCTCCTGTGCCGCATTGAAGTACTCCGCGACCGATCGGTCTCCTTGCTCCAAATGAGCAACAGCCATCTGTATCTCGTACTGCCGTGCTGGATTGACGGTAGAATAGAGGGCGGACAGATGTCTCCACATCCTGTTTGCAGTCTGAAATAGTCGTAAACTCAGGCATGTGGACGAATCCACGCAGCCCAGCAGCAACGATCTCACACGAGCATCGTTCTGACTCCATTGTGCGATTTCAAGAGCGGTAGCAGATCCGGCAGCTGGCCTCGGTACTGTTCCATCAAGAATACCAAGTAATCCACGACCTTCCACGAAGACACGGAATTGAAACTCCCACAGAGCAAAATGAGTCGAGGTGAGACGTACCAACGGTCTCTTAGATTCGATCTGTGTAGGCTCTGATACCATATTGAGAAACGGAATACGATAACGGAAATGCAAAACTCGGATTTACGTGGTATCCCTGGATTGACCAGGACTAATCCACGGAGGAGCACGAAAACTCCTCGTCTACTGTTTTACTGATGATAATTTGATGATTACACAAGGCTGCCGCACTCTACTCATATACACCACGCTACCGTGAACCCTAGAGTCATTAGGTTTCCACGTTAATCACACCTAATGTTCATGGGCTGCATGGGCTCTTCAATGCTATTGGGCTCTCGTGTCCTGTACTACTACTACTACAATACATACGTGACTTATACGATTAACAGTCGTGCCTCGCCGCCGCGGCGAAGAAGCTCCGATCATCATCCGAATCGTCTGCACAATCGACGATGATTGACGCTCGGGTCCTAGATCGCGATTTCCCCGACGACGACGTCAACGATTCCGATTCCTCCTCCGACATAATCAACACCGAGATAGAACCCTTTCCCCGCTCGCTCAACAGCATCCCCGCCGCTTCCTCTGCCTTCGCCTTCGACATTTTGAGGAAGGAGGGTAATATCCCGACCACCCACCAGCTCTTCCCGGAGAGGGAGGGGCCGGAGCTCAACCCGCCGGCGACGACGCCGGGTCAGTGAGGGAAGCACAAAATCCGTCGAGGAAGGTGGAGTAGGAGTAGATTAGCTTGGAGGCAGGGGATTCTGACTGCGAAATCGACGACAGAGAGGCTAGGTGCCAGTGGTGTGGAGATTGGAAGGCTTTTGGCATGACATTGGAGTCCATTAGAACAATATGCTGCTGCTCGGTTTGGACTAAAGTGAGAAGAAAGGTGGCGAAAAAGGTAAGTTTTATTTTTATTTTTTAATAGTTGTAAAATGAGGTGGAAATTGTAAATATTTAAAAAAAAATTATTTTTTTATTGGCCACGTCACTCATTTAACGATCAACTATAATAGTTGATTGCCACATCAGCAAAAACTAATGGAGACTAACGAAGAGTGACCAAACTTGAACTATTGAACTAATCTTAGTGACCATGAATAGAATTAAATATTTGCAGTGACCAAACATGAACGGTTTTAATAAACCTAGTGACCAACCTTGCAATTAACCCAAAATGGATTCAAATTAGTTTAGATGATCTGAATAGATCCATCAGTTACTCCAAATTATTATCCATCCAACAGCCTCTCAAATAATCCATCCATTTACATCCAATTGCACAACAGAACTCCATAATGCCAATTTTAGGAAATGATAAAAAGGAGGTGGTGAACCTAGCTACCAAACCAACAGTCTGACACAGGACTGAAATTTCAGCAGCTCTGACGTAATATTTACAATGTTTTCCAAACAGAGTTGAATGTAATCAGGATTTGTACAAAGCAGTAGTGATGTCTCATGCGATAACAGTAACAGTTTTCAGGCAACAAGATCGGATGTAGTCTACTTGAACCAGATGCATCACCATGAACATCATTGAATCGGGCTACGGCCTTCGCCTTGTTGATGAGTGTGGCGACTCGTGTTAGTTCTCCGTTTCTTCCAGTCCTCATCTGATTTATCCCCAACACCTCCGCCTCCCTAACGTCCTGTGTTTCCTTTTAATCCTTCAACAAAAGCCAAATTCAATGTGCTTGACAAGTTCCAGGCACTTGTTGAGAATCACACTGAATCATGCTGGCTTAGAAACTCAGCTATTGCAGGGTAAACTTGCTCCACTGCCTGATATTTGGGGAACAAAAGGATGAGAATAAGAGGGAAGTCCTGTGCAAAAAAAATATTGCGAGAACCATCTTTCTGCAATAAAGAGCTAAAATAAATAAGGGCATACCAGTTGTCCTCCAACCAAGTCGTAATGCGCATAGTGAGGACCTCCTGATTCTCCAAAGACTTTGTAGGTCGCCAAATGTTTGGGGAGAACTTTGACGGTTTCTGAAAATCAAAGCCCGGTGAGTAATAAAAGCATACCAATTTATCCTTTTAAGAACAGAGAAGATTTCAGGGAGAAAAACCTTCTACAGCTTCCGGTGGACAAATTAGATCTTGATCACCTGCCAAGGCCAAGACTGGGATATTGCACTTATGTAAATGGTCCTTGTAGAGAAACCCCCCATTCCTGTCACGCAACCCACCCTCTCGAAAAGCTGTTGTAAGCTGCAGAAGAAGTTTGGCTGGTATGGTACCTGTCACTCATAAGCACACCAAAAGTTGTTCAAATCATACTAGAGACTAAGGGATACAAGATGGGTAAAGGTTAAAAATTCAGAGAAGCATAATACCACACACAACTAGAGCTCGACATCGTCAAAAATGGGTAGGAGGGTTTTTCATACTCACAAAAGTTGTTCAAAACAAGCTTTTCTAGCAGTTCTGGGTGCATCATATCTTGTGCTGATATAAGATGGTTGAGCCAAGATAGCACATAAGGAGGACGAGATGAAAGAGGAAATGTCGCTGCCAACATTGCCCCCAAAGGAACAACAGGTACATTAAGAGCCTGAGCAGGATCGGCCTGTAACCAAAATTTATAAGCAACGCTCTAATTTCCTTTGAAGATATGCCTTCTTATAAAGCTACAACAATTACTTGGTAACTGACAATACTGTATATTGTGTCCACCTACCAGTGGTATAAGTAACTTGAGCCTTGAATTCGAGGTAGTGTAGTCAACTGACGATGCCAGAGTAACAATAGCAGCAAAGCCAGAGTCGTTTCCTTCAAAACCTTACAATATCATCATAGATGAGTAACTATAAAATATCCTTCTCTTCATCACTCGCAACAAAGGCACAAGCAGAAGCAAAAAAGAAAAAGAAGGAAATTAAGCAGTGATCAATTGAATATATTGTATGTGATATGCACTAAACCAATAAAACCCTTCAAGCCAATCTCAGATATTACTAAGGCAATCGGAAGAGGGGTTTGATAAATCCAAGTCATAGCAAACTGACAATGTGAATTAGCTCTGCCACCACAGCGGTAAATCAACCTCAGTAGTCATGTCTCCACCAAAGATGTATCAAAATCATTTATTTTCACTTTTTGGCAGGGGTGCATTAAAAAGCTTATGAGGGAACAGGAAGAAGGTGTGAACAACACCAGTTCACAGCCTCACCACTTAAAGTTTACAACCCCGTGCTAGCAAACAAAAGTCTGAAATAGGTTATTATACCTCGCCTAGAGAAGGAAACTTTAACAGAACTCGAGTGCAAACTTAACAACATGACAGATTGGGAAGGGGGAAAATCAGCAAAGGTGGTAAAATCCCTTCAAATTGGCAGTTTAAGAACTAAAAGAAAGATATAATAATCCCTTCAATATGTCCAAAATGAGAAAACAAATTATCCATTTACTAATAATGCAGAAGTGAAAGTCAATAATAATCTATAAACTCCTATGTTTTGTGCTGGATAAAAATAGCAGCTTTAAAAAATAGTGTTTTTAGCAAGAGCAGTGACTCTATTTTCCAGTTTCCACGTTTACTGGGGACATTGAGTTTTAAATTCAAACAAAAATGGTCTGATCTTTCCAATTTCTCACCAATAACTGCCTATAACAATTGAAAATAGGCTTGACAGTTTAGAACCACCTATAGAATTTGCATCATACTCGACTCTCCTTCCATAGCATCAAGAATGCTTGAAGAATTCAACCCATATCTGAAAACTAGACGGATAATTTGTTGAAAAGTCTATGGCATTAACAAGTCAGAGCCAAAACACCTATCATATACCACCTAAGAACTGTTAAGGGCGGCCCGGCCCTTGGCAACATAAGGAGATCCTCAGCTATTGTGATTTATGCAACTAAATGGTATCTTACCACATCTTGACGTTCTTGCATACAGCAGGATGCCTCCCATGGAATGTCCAATTGCAAGCAACTTCCCATCCTTTGGTTTGCATTCTGCCTTTATATATTGCATCTGCAACAATTAAGAATGAGGATTATGTGAGGGGTGAAACATAGGCTTTTGCATATTGCAGATGGGTCTAGATATATTATAACAGGCAAAAATTTGTTGCATATGACACGTCATCAAGATAAAATGTCACCTCACCGCAGTAGGAACATCCTCCTCAAGGTAATGGTCGAAGTCCCAATCATACTTAACAATAAGGTCAAGTTGTTTCTGAAAATCTTCTACAGTTGATGTAAGACGATCATGCAAATCAGACAACTGAGGCGAGACAGACTTTTGACCTTCCTCAGCAATATTTACAAGTGTCTGGCTTAGCTCCCTGATCTGACTGGCAACACCAGAATTTTGCCTCGTCTCCAACAAGCTCAAAAGCTTTTCCCGCAACTCATTTAGGCGCTCAGATAACTGGGTATCTTCTAAAAGTATTGATATCTGGTCAAATAATTTAGCTGACATTATCATGGATTGACCTTCGCTAAGAAAGCCAGAGAGACTGTCTGACAAGGTCATGAAAGTATCTGTCAACTTGGACACCAACTTAGATTCATCCCAAGCAGTTGATAGTCCAGTTGGGTCCTCAGGAACCGATGAAAGCTCAGAACTTGGTGATGTGCTTTGGGAAGCACTTGCAGTTTCTTGACTTGGAGATGGATCTCCGTTAGTTACACTCTTAGCAACAGATTCCATCTGCTCGGAAGCAGACTGCCTACCATCTTTTGCAGTTGCCTGATTCGTAGACAGAGGTCCAGTAGTGACACCCTTAGCAGCAGATTCCATCTGCTCAGAAGCTGCATATGCAGACTCCCCAATATTTTTGGCATCTGATTCCCGTACACTCAGCCCAGCACCTCGAACTTCAAGAATCCAGGTGTCATAGCCCTGGCCAGACATGTACCTTGCAAATGATGACTGCAGACATACACAAACACATGAGTGGGCATACATGGACGGAGACAGGAATTTGATGTCCCTCATCCTGCTACTCTATTCAAACAGAAAACACATGTGAGACGCAAAAACTGACTGGTCGAGAAAACCGCCGCTGTGCTACTTATTCCAATATGTAAAAATAACTTCTCTTTAGCAAGAAGAGTTAAAAGTAAACCACCATCATGACAAGGAGCTTTTAGAAAGAACACATCTAGTTCAGCACTTGAAAAATGTGGGTTAGCCTTCCAGGGAAATTCCATTATACAGAGAGCATAGCAAACCATCACGATCGTTAGTCAGCTTACAGAGGCCAAATTGACACATGCCAACCAATGAAACCCCAATTTCGAGGAGAAATTCCAAATGTCCACAAAGATGGCTGGAACAAAGCATAGGATCGCGAAATGGGAAGTGGAGAGTTAGTTACCCCAGGAGAGAGGTCATAACCAATGGCATTAGTCCCGACTCCAGACAATAGCAACAGTGGATGATTCCTTGGAGGGGCCTGGAAACGACGAAACAGACAAAACAGGAAGGAATGAAAGAGAATAAATATTCGCGGGAAGTAAAACAAGAGGGCGAGAATTACCTGAGGAGAAGGGTGGTAGCGCCAGAGAGCAAGGCGCCAATCGGAATTGGGAATGGTGACATAGTGAAGCTCGTCGGCACTGCAAATGGGAGGCTTCTGGGGGAGTTTAATCGCTGACTCCGACGGTCCAGTGGAGAAAGCTCTCAACCTGAACAGCGACGACGAAGACGACGGCGCTCGTGAAGCAGCCGCCCCGTAGGAAGAAGGGAACGGTCGAGAAGAAAGAGGCAAGCGGCGGCGAGGGAGAAGAAGATCAGGATTGACGAAGAAGATATTTGCGGCGTTTACAGCGGCACGTATGTCGAATTGGATTGGAGCCATGTTCATTGGAGTCGATGATGGTAGTTCCAGAGCGAAAGTGAGAGAAATTGTTTGAATGGGTGGTGGGGGCTTCGACTGGGAATTGGCTATGGCCCGTGTCTGGAAGCTGAAATATATAAGTTTCAGAACTTGGAAGAAGTTTGTTTGGATTATGGTTTCGTTCTGGAGAAAGTGACGGCAAAATACATACATAGTTTTTTTTTTTTTTTAATTATAACTAGTTTGGTCTCCCAAGTCCCGCCGATTGGTAAGTTTCTATCCTAACCTTTTCAAATTGGGTTAATGCCAATTTCGTCCAACTTCTTTAATAGAGTCTGTTAAGGACATTTCATCGATTGGTTAGTTTATGGGTCGTTTGGATGTAGTATTTTGATGAGGTAATTTAGTCGAAATAACTAAAAATGAGGTATTTCAATCAAAATAACTCGTTTGGCAAAAATAAAGTAGAATGTGGTATTTTGTCCATGAGTCAATTGAAATAACTCATTGTGAATTATTTGAAATACCTACCCACCCCCTAGTTATTTCAAATACCTATCTCCCAACTTTTTTTTCCACTTCATCCCTTCTTTAAGTGGTGAAATACCACAATATTTGAATGCTTTATCCAAACAAAACAATTACACCAATTACCACATTTCAAAATAAAACACCACATAGCAAAATATGCATCATTTGGATTCGAAATAGCATAGAACCAAAATGATGCATCTAAACGACCCGTTCTAACGTGACAAACGAATCACCTAATCAACCAAATTTAGCCCAACAAAAATAAAATCGACACTCCACTTCATTAAAACTACCCCAACCTATGATCCAATCCTTTCTCTTCTTCTCTCTTTTGACCCGACCGACCCGAACCTTCTTCCTCCTTCCCCACAGAATGGAATGGATCTTCTCCTCCCACATTGTAACTAAAAGGGAGAAATATACGGAATATTTTTTTTTTTTCATTTTTTTTCTTTGAATTATTGGATACATATGTATGTCTAACCTTGGGCATCAAATTATCCACTTTGTCATTCCCGTGGAGCCTCTAATGAATTAAGCTGGTCGCAACACCATTCCAAACCTACCAAAATCGGCAGGTAAGGTTGAGGGAAAAGGTTAAGTGCCTAGGTGCATAATATAACAAACAAAAGAGAACCAAAAACATAAAACAAATCAAGGGACAAAGAGAAGGCAGATGTCAGAAGGCCAGACTCAGTTCCCCTATCACGTCCATTTAAACTTGTACATTACACCATACAATACAACAATGCTGCTCTCTGCAGCAGCCCCTACCCAGAAACTGGATCCAGCAATAAATACACCACAACCCGGAACTGAAACTTCTTCCTACTCCACCGTTTTCAGCCTGATTCTTGGCCGGTCTTTGGTCTTCTTTCTATTCACATGCCAACTTGGTGTCAAAGCTGCTCAAGCATATCGCAAAAGCTTGAAACGCAGACAGCGGGTACCGGTAATCCATGGTGAACATATCCTTCCCAACTTTCCCAAACTGCAATATTAGCTTATCATGATCAGACTGTGACTGCGGCGGCTGCCCACATGCTGTTGCAGCCGGGGCGGCAGCTGGCTGATTTGCCGCAATCAGCTGGAAGTTCTTAACCGAGGCCACAGTCACTCTGCCTCGGAAGTTGAGACACCAGCACTGCAACTGCTCGTGCCACCTGGGCGCTTTATTCCGCAGAATCACCGGCCCATCATCTTTCGCTTCGTCTTCTCCACCTTCTCCTCCATCGCGGCGTCTATCGAAGAAGCGGGAGCTGCTGAACTCGCTCGAGCTATCGATTATCGACTTTGACAACGACATGCTTCGAAATGAGTCTTCGAGGGACCGTGGGAGCAGGATCTCGGGTTGGCCTGGGACCGAACCGCCGGGCTGGAGGGATGATGTTGGGATGGAGCACATGGTGCATTGCATCCTGCGGGGACCACGAGTACCCAGCACGTTCAGCTCGTATGAGATCTGGGCAATGTTGTAGCTTCCCGTGGGAACCTTTGGCGATACTTTTTTCGAGTAGAACCTCCGGCTTATACCGGGTGGAGGGGGGAGCTGTGAGTTGTTGTAGGACGGCTGGGTGTCATAAATTATGAACCTGGTTCCCAAGAAATTTGACCTGGGAAAGAAAAAAGAAGTAGAAATGTTTTAATATAGAAACTTGTGATACAAGGCAATCCATGAAGAACAAAATAGCTTCCGAACATAGATAGTGTGATCTAGATAGAAATGATGTTGCCATAGAATTGACCTGACATTCATGTTTCAAAGTGATTAAAGAAAATATCATAGATTGAAAGGGGTTTCCTTCATTTCCCCCTTCGTTTCAGATGCAATGTACAAATACAGATGGAATCTTACCTTAGTTTCCCTATATATGTACCACTCGATCTTGATATGTTGTCAGCATCCATGGAGATAATATACTCTGTACAAGTAGTTCTGCGGGTTCTTTTAGCAGAGAGAAGGAATTTCCCATTTTCAACCAGCAAGGCTGCAAAAAAGAGACCCCAGAAGAGAGGAAGAGATGAAGATGCAGAACAGAAGTGATGAGTTCACGATAGGTGCAGAGGACTTCAGTCACAGCCCACAGCCATACTTTAAATGCCAATTCACAGCAAGTTTAAAATGTGGAAGAACATACAAACACACACACGGAAGATAGAAAAAAATCAAATGCATATTTGATGCTTCCATTAACACATTCTTCCAACAATATACTTCTCATTGATCACTATAAACAGAGAATAGTAGGTCGGCCTGCTGGGGAAAGCAGCTTAATGTTGGCTCAAAATTAAGACAAATATCATTCTAATGGCACCACAGAGGTTATATTTCAATCAACCTCCACTGTAAGTGGAGCTTCTTGCCTACTCTGAGTTGCCACTGCATCTCTCTGATAAAGGGAATTTTGCAATGCAACTTTCCCACAAATATTGGTAAAAATGTAAGAGGGACGAGACCCAAGAAGCCAAGTGGAGGTGCAGAGGCACAATTAATCATAGGCAGAGAAGCTCTCAACCATAAGATTGGACAACAAATACAAATCAAATAGAGAAAAGCTTACCAGGGCTAAGGCAAAGGAAAAGATGGTAAGTTAACTTGGACTTGTCTCTCTTAATGAAGCACTGGATGAGGCCATCCCTGTGGCCAGGCTGCAATCAACAACAACAAGTACAATATGTATGTGTCAATAATAGCTCCTCAGCTGAATTTTTTACCATTTCAATAAGAATGCAAAACATTTATCTGAACCATTATCACCTGCTTCAGGGAAATTGGGAAAGTAATCTTCCCAGAGAACTCTGGACTCCTAACAAGTTCTCTACACATTTCTCTCCATGCTTTGCAAACTGCAGCACATGCAACAACATGCTTGCGAGCAGGCCAAGTGCCTTCACTTGCCTCCAACCTCTTAATTACATCACGGAGTAACTCAGGTGGAAGGCTAGCCCAACGACTACTCTGAATAACCACCAGCTGCTGGTCATTTGAGTCGATAATAGAGCCATGAGATTTCCCTCTATTATGATGACCTGGCAGCCTTACATCAAAACTCCGCCGGGATAAGCTCCCAAACCCATCTCTGACATCACGTACTATGTTGCGAAACGACATAAGTTTTGCCTGGTCGGATCTTCCAAGTCAACCCCTCCTTAATGGTGTATCCCAAACCAGAACTGAATTTGAATAGCTCGATAACCATCCACCAAGAGAAGTATTAGAAACTGCAAATCATGATTTTAAGTACTTGCTTCAGACTCTCTAAGTAATGCAAATAGCCAAGAGGGAGAAAAGGGAAAGGAGACAGGCATGGGAAAAGGCACTTAGCAAGTAAAGAAGATTCCTAAAGAACTCACATGTATACATTAAGGCACTTAGCATACAATTATTACGAGGGGCATCTGAGCCCAAGTCTATACTGAAATTAAGAATCTTAACAGCAGGAAAAAAGAAACAAGTAACGTATTTCATAGCTGTGATTCGATACCCTTTTAACTTCAAATTTCCAGAATCTTCAGGCATGAAACACCAGTCACCAAACTAATCAGTAACCTCGTCAAATGCACTAAAAGCCCCAATCCAAGAACTACCCACGAAGTGGAAATGGTTCAGAATCACAAACCGGAAGCCAATTTCACTTCTTCCCGGCCATTAAAAATGGGAAACCATTCCAGCGACTGAACGAGAAGGGGGGAAAAAACGAGTTTGACTTCAAAAATCACCAAGACCCTTCAAGTGACCTAACATCAGCTATAAACAAAACCAGCACGGCAATAAAGCAAGGACGAGATTCAGTTTTCCCAGAAACAAACAGAATGGGAAAATCCAGGGAAAAGAGATCTGACCCAGAGAAAAAGTCACCGCGACTCTCCACCACCAACGCCGCAAACACTCTGAATCTCAGAGTGTATGTCTCTCTTTCTCTCTATCTCTACATGAGATCTTCTGCCTTCATCTCCAATTGACTAAACGGCGTTCCTCTCTATATGTCTCTTACTCTCTTCTGGGCAGCTTCTCTTCTTCCTTTCTATCTCTACAGAACCCAAGACTTCCCTACACGCGTGTTCCAGACCGGCAACGAAATCCAGTTTTCACGAACCCACTGATGTCGAAGTTTAACTACTTTACTTACTTTTCCTTTTGTTTTTTGTTCTGTTTATTAAAATGAATACATTTCATGGGGAATATTTTGAGTCAGCAGTTCACTCAGTCGTGGTTAATTAAAGTAGTTAAACAAATTAATAGTAAGGCGGTTTTCTTTCCGTTTCCATATTATCTTTCCTTTTTTCCTAATTAACTGTCAATTTGGCCTCTAAACTTTGTTTTTCTTTTCATTCAAGTCACTAAATAATTCGAACTCCTATCTGATTGGCGATGGCATTTTTGTCCATATTTATAGGCATTTTACTATCCAATTCAATTAGAGTGGGCCCGGCCATTTGGCAAGAGGAAGGTGAGGTATTAAATTTGATAATGTAATAGAGTGTATAGTTTATTGTTGTATAGTTTTTTGAGGAAAACACATGATAAAAATAGTGAATTTTAGTAGGAAAGAGACATGAATGATGCAA